TCCCCTATGATACTCTTCCAATGTTTTTACAAATGATTTCAAGCCTAAGACACTAGCTTCTTAGATAGCTAACAACTGCTAGTGCTTTCTGCTGCTTACTTGAAAATGCCTGGGGACTAAAGAGGGCCTCAGCCAATAAAAGTGGACACTGCTCTTGCAGAAGACCAGAATTCCATTTCCAGAACCCACATTGGGGGGCTCCAAACCACCTGTAACTTCAGCATTAGGGGAATCCTGTATCCCTGCTCTCTAGGGATGTTTATAGTCATGTGTACACACACACACACACACACACTTTTGAAACTATTTTTCAAAAAGACTCTTCAATCAGTAACATTTTTCTGTTTTCCATTTTTATTGATACCAAGAAAAAATTTGATAATCAAAATCAGAATATATAAAAGTGGGTGGTTTCTTCCTCTTTTGAACACCTGACTTAACTTTCTACATTACTTGAAACCCATGGTCACTATAATAAACAAGGTAAGACCTTGTAAAGGGTTAGTGATTGGAAGTTAGTGATTCTCTCATATTTTTTATATGAGAGTATATGTTTGACTGACTTCAAGTGGTGTGATTTGAGGTTGGTTGTATTATTCTGTCAGGATCCATAAAAATGACTTTGCTTCATCTTGGCTTAGTCAGAGAGTTCAAAACTATCCTTACTCTTCCAAGGTTAAAGTCATAAGACCTAAAGGTCTAAGGTGTGGCTACTGTAGGAATTTGGTCTTAGGCATGCATGTCTTATCTAAACAACGAGAGATTTTATCTAAGGTGTGGTTACTCTTAACCCTAAAAGTCAAATACCAGTAGAGTTTTAGTCTACTGAATGCTTGGAAAACTAAGGAAGTAAGTCTGTTTGGTTCCTTGTATCTTGATAAAGAAGTCTCTTGCCGTTTTTTTGATTTGGATATATTAGAATGATGAAGAATAAACTTGGGGCCTTCACTGTTCACTAGGTTGCCCTCCTGACTCTGTTTGGTGTCTCTATCCTTTCCTTAGTATCTTTACCTGCCATCTTCTTACTCCATATTCCCTCTCTCATGTACGATCCGAGTGAAGTCCCCACAAAGACAGGTTCCTACAGATGGCCCCTCAACATTGGCCACAAACAAGTTGAGCTCATACAGATTGGCACCACAACATGGGGCACAAACATACATTATTCGTGGATGTGTATTAATCTCACTTATACTTGTCCATTGCAAGTAAGAGGCTCCGCTATACCCAAATAACCAAGAAGGAATTAACTATGGAGTGCTTAGTGCCAGGCTTTGCAACTACGTATGTCTGAACCAAACCAAATGCCTATTTGATCTTTGATTGGACATCACCCAAGAGATCACCTTGAATACAAATATAACGATATTCGATGCTATATTGGGAAAGCAATATATTTATTTACCAGAGAGAGAGAGAGAGAGAGAGAGAGAGAGAGAGAGAGAGAGAGAGAGAGAGAGAGAGAGTCACACAGACAAGGAGTTAAAAGCATGGCTGGCTTCCAGGAGAAAAAGGGAAGCCCCTTTTCCTTTCACTTCCTTTTATCTCTACCTTGACCCCGCCCTGTTGGGCAGATAGCTTTGTGGGGTTCACTCCTACAATTCCCCTTTTAGTCTAAATAGAAGACTTAAATTTGATACAAACTCAAATATATACAACATATATACGTAGAGGGTGATAATTAAGTTATAATCTACTTATCCTAAACTAAACATATCCATTCCACCTAAATTCTAAACTTATCTGAAAGGGATGCCTAAGTCTGAACACCTCCTTCCAATCCCAACCCTAAAATAATTGCAAATTAACACTAACAGGTGTAAATTATCCTCTAATGTCAATAGTAGGGAGAGGGGATGTGGAATTCTCAAATTTACTTCCTGCTGAAGTGGGACGATGACAATCATGGTGACGTGTGGGAAGAAATTGTTAGTGTAACAAGAGTCTTAAGTAGGTCAGTTAGTCTCTATTTTGCAGGGGAGGCTTGACTGAAGTTCTGGATTAGATTTCTGATTTTGATTGAAGCTGTTGTCTGAAGCTCTGATCAGATTGTAGAAGATGCACTGTATCAGTTCCTTGGCCTGACAATGTGTCGAGTGATGTAGTTCCAAGCTGGTTTCAGGATGGTGCCTGTCAGGTGGGGTCGATGATGTGGGGCAGTTTAGATGTATCCAGTCGAATCAGGCGAAGTCAGGGAAGTGAATCCACATTCTCTTTCTGAAGCAGTTGAAGATCGCTGTCAAGAAATCCCTTTGTCTCTGGAAAGCTGAAATATTAATGTTAGCACAGAAATTCTTAACTTTTATGTGTATGAATACTGGGAAAGGCGACCCTAAGGAAGACAATACACATGAAGGAGATTAGAGTTTTAGAAAAGAATCAAATATACACAGATGACAGTCCCCATATATGTATCTTTTTTGTTGTTGTGTTGTTTCTGTCTTATATCAATGGCTCTTTGATATCATACAGAAAGTCCACAGCAGAGGCAGGCAGATTTCCAAAGAGAAACCCTGTCTCAAAGAAAAATAAATTAAAGTAAAAGAAATAGACTAATAATAATAGGTAAATAAATAAATGGTGTCAGAGCGGGACTGAATTTCCACGCAAAACAACAAAAGCTTTAAAGGAATTTTAGAAACAGAAGAACAGAGAGAAGCACAGAATTTTGGTAGCAGCATTTTTCTCAGGTGGGCTCTGTTTTGCTAGGGACAAGCCCAGATTCACGCGGCTCGCTTACGGGAGTCTTCCTGACTCGGCATAAAAAGAAAAAAAAAAAAAACCAGCAAGGTTCTTTTAAGAGACTCTGCTAACAAGTGAAAAGTTATACGTACAGCTGTGGCAGTGACCACATCTCTGAGCCGACAGCTTTTGCTGGATATCAGACTGAGACAGTGAGCTGGAGTCACGCTTATGCCCGCCATCTTGGAAATGGCAGTTTAAACAGCCTAGGTTTTTACAGATAAGACACATGGCCAGAAAAACGTAAAGATTTACAGTAAAGTCAGACTTGGATGAACAAAACCTCTAAAGGTTTACAGTGTGTTTAAAAATATACGTAAGATTGAAAAACAAAAAACAAAAATGGCCCAGCTGTGGTGGCACACGCCGGTAGGATTTACTCCAGAGGCAGAGGCGGGCGGATTTCCAAAGAGAAACCCTGTCTCAGAAAAAAAAATAAATAAAAGTAAAATAAATAAAGTAATAATAGATAAATAAATAAGCCACGTAAAGATGGAAAATACACAGAGAGTCTGGATACTGTACACTATTGTGTTTTTCAGTTTTTTGATTGCTCAGGAAGGAACAGCTGCTAAAGTACACTTGATTATAAATGCTGCTGAATTAATTCAACTTATAACTTTTGAAAATGCCTTAACTTCAAAATTTAAGTATAAGAATATGTTACTTGGGGAAGGAGTTTTTGTTTATGTTTCTACAGAAAATGAAAATCTGAGGATTCCTTCCAGGCTTCAGTGGTTTGACGAACCAAGACCCCCGGAAGTAGTGGACCAGGTGTTTCAACAATTGAGACAGCTAAGATGATGGAGCTTCACAGACCCTGAAAATAAGGACTTATACAGGTTTCTGAGTTTTGTCATGATCCCCACGGTATGAACAGCGCCCCCTTCCAGCACGAAGCAGTTTGGAATGAGCGACGTCCCAATTCCCATCTTGTTTAAAAATCTTTGTTTTCATTTAAATGGGATTGTTTATAATTGGTTAATGATCACAACCAGTCTCTTTTAATGGTAAAAAGGAGAATTATGGTATGGGTATGGTTTTTCATTTATTGATACAAATTCAAGGTCAATTTTGTGATGTGTATATTTCTCCTCTTGATTAAGTATTGTGCTTATACTGATTTTTTAAAACGTAATGCATAATTGAATACAGACTATAGATAGTTCATTATAATAGTCAAGAATTTATAGTTAGGTAAGTTAGGTTTTCTAGATAGATAGAGATGTATTTGAGACAGATAGTCTTCAAACCTTTCAAAGACCTTCAAAAAATGGCATTTAAAATGGTTTAGGGTTTTTCTTAATAATGAGAAATGTCTGCTCCTGGCAGCACCAATTATGTCTGAGAGGAAGATGGGCATCGAAGAAACTTGTTATAGAGTCTGCTTTCAACATGGCAAGATTAGCCATTTGGGCAAGAAACTTCTCTTGCCTGTACTGCTTGACTGTTGTTGTATAATCTGGACATGCAGGACCCACAGAGAAGTGACTGCTGAACTAAGTCTTACAGGGTTCCTGCTTCATGGAAGATTCTACCAGACTTTCTGCAGGACACAGAAAAATGACTGACAGACTGCCAATGCAGATGGACAGTTTGAAATTTCCTGCTTTCCTGAGAAATCTTCTGGACACATTGTGGCCTATGGGCTGAAGATGGGTGCCCCGACAATACAGAGGAACTTCGGGTGACTGTCCAGGTAGCAAGATGTCTCTGTCAATCCTAGTATTTATATATTATCCTTCTGTGGTCTTTGATGGAGTTGAAGATAGATAGTTATAATTATAGTTTTCCTTAGTTATGATAAAAGATAAGCTACATGTAGAAATTTAGACTCACAAGAATGGGATGGATGATATTTTCTTTAAATCTTGCTAAATGTTGACAAAATATTGTAACTGTGTTCTTACTTGATAACTGTTCTGTTATATACAATTTGACTATGTTAAAGTTAAGACCTTTCTTTTTGTTTAGACAGAAAAGAGGAGATGTTGGGGAAGTCCTGTGATTATGTCAATAAAGCACTGTTGAGCCAATAGGGAACCAAGATAGGAGGGACTAGGAGTCCAGGAGGACTCTGGGAAGGAGAAAGACAGAGAGTCGAGATGTAACGCCATGGGGTAGGAAGCCCGGAAACTTCTCTGGTAAGAGACATACTTAGATTAACAATTATGGGGTAATTACTTAAGTTAGAGCTAGCCAGTAAGAAACAAACAAGGCCAACAGCTTCATAATTAATATAGCTTCCTGTGTGTTTATTTGGGACTGATGCGGCTCTAGAACCAGGCTGGCTGGAAGGCGTCACTCAAAGAAAAAGCTTCTCTTTACATACAAACATGATGGGTAAATACCTAAATACATTGATCAGTGACCACACACACACACACACACACACACACACACACACACACACCTCAAAGACCATGCCATGATGGAAGGTCAGCGTGCTTATTCTTCCCTAAGTAAGAGATAATGAGGAAGCAGAAGTTAAGCTTGTTTTTATTTTGTCCCTTTCTAAAGAGGCATCTAGACAGAGAATAAGAACTTACTAAGTATTAAGCATTTAACCTGATAAATTTGTTTATTGCACATTTTCAAGACTATAGCCTAAAAATGGGAATTAAGTCGGTAGTATAACATAGGTAATAATTTCTCTAAGTATTAAGGTTAGTTTTGTGTTTTTCTGCAGGCAACATTATGTGATAATCTTAGCAGTGATCAGTATCCTGAAGAAACATTCTGGGATAACTCCAACAATCCAAGACTTGTGTTGTACTAGTATTGCAGCTGGGGTTTGTTTTTACTTTGGACGTAGAAACCCTTCTTTTTCTTCTCGAACACAACAATCTGGGAAGAAAGAAAAACAGTCAGGCCTGTTGGCACTGGATGAAGAAAACACTGGAATTCAAGAACAAAGGTCCATCTAAAAGCTTATGTCACCTTGAAGCAAAGTTGGGTATCTCACCTCATTGTCTCCTGGATGAAGCCAGGGGCCAGGAAGGTACAGTGTTCTCTGAGGCCCAATGTCCTGATATCTTCCAAGATTACGTCCATTGACAAATACAAACCCATAATGCCAGTTCTGGAAGGAATGAGGGTTTGAGACATAGGAACAGAAAGTGAGCCTAAGGCACCATGGAGTAAGAGCAAGATTAAGGAGCCCAGGGGTACTCCGTATGAAAGTAACTTAGAATGGAAAACATCTAGAGCTTCTTCTCCTCTGTCTCTGAAGAAACAAGAAGAAAATGGGGCCAACTCTGCAGTAGAGATGCTACTGTGGTCCTGCTGTGCGTAGAGATGATGCTGTAGTCCTGCTACATGATGTGTGTGCTGCATTTTTAAAGCAGAGAGTTGTAGATTATTATTTGAAGATATGTTACATTCATTTATGCTGATAAACATTTGTTTAATGATGCAAAGATGTGTTGCATTCTTTTATGTTGCATTTGTTTAACTCTGTGAAACCATGCTGTCTACAACACCTGATTTGTCTAATAAAAGGCTGAATAACCAATAGCTAGGCAGGAGAGGGATAGGTGGGGCTGCCAGGCAGAGAAAATAAGTAGGAGGAGTGAGAAAAGGAGGAGGACAGGAGGATGGCAAGAGCCAGCCACCCAGACACACAACCAGAGAGAGAGTAAGAAAGAAAAGATATACAGAAAAAGAGAAAGGTAAAAGCCTAGAGGCAAAAAGTAGATAGAAAATTTAAAGAAAAAACTGACTAGAAATAAGTCAAGCTAAGGCCAGGCATTCATAAATAAGAAAAAAAATCTCTGTGTATTTATTTGGGAGCTTGGTGGTGAGCCCCCGAAGAGCAAAGAGAAAAAAAAAACTATGGCAGGGACTTTTATTTCCAAAATAAGAACAAGAAAATGGTTGCACAGTATTCCTGACAGTGATGAAAGTGGTCTTTTTATTATATTTTTATGCCTATTCATTTTATTTGTATAGGTATGAGTATGATGTCCCAATGTATGCATGTGCACTTGGAATGCCTTGTCCTTGATGACATCATAAGAAGGCATCAGACCCCCTGGTACTGGAGTTAGATAGTTTTAAGCTCCAATATGAGTAAGAACCAAACCCAGACCCTCTGAAGAGCAACCAGTGTTCTTACCTGCTAAGCCATCTCTCCAGGATGAACATAATTTTTTATAATCTACTGACAATGCATCATATAGTTACAGGAAGAATATTTAGGACAAGAAAATAAAGCAGCAAGGAGAGTTGACAATTTTTTTCACTAGAGAAATCTTACTCTGAGAGAGTTTCTGAGAACCTAAATAGGACCTTTCTTAGCTCACAAATGGTAAAAACATGGGTATCAAAAAAGCTCATCAAATAATGTGCTCTCTGAGTTGGGACTTTAAGGGACTCTACCCTAGCAAGGGTAATATAAAAGTTGTTCAGTCACCAGTAGCCTTAATATGCCAGTCACTCTGTTGCCTGTTTTAGAAGCGTCTCTAATGTGTGTTTTCTCAGAGCTACTAACCAGCTATATTAAACAGAAAGTCCAGACTGAGCTCTGGCCAAGTAGGGAAAAAATATAATTTGTAAATGGAGCAATTCTATGATAGTGAATGTCAAGCTGGTTATATAGCAGTCTTATACCTTGGGACTAATGAGGCCAAAAGTTTTGTCACCAGGCAAAAAGTCTTTGATAAGAAAGTCTGAGAAATTAATCCTGACTCAGAACTAGAACAAAGAGAAGAATGTTAACTTTATTTTGTAGAGTCCAGATTTGACTTCTCAGGTTTCATGTTCATGGTACAATCTAGAATGAGAGAAGTCTTCTAAACACAAATGGAAAAGAAATTTATTACAAAAAGAGAATCCACAGGTTGCTTCAGGCAGTAAATGACTCTGAAGAAATGGCAGCCATGCCAGGCAGTAGTGACACACACCTTTAATCCCAGTACTCAGGAGGCAGACACAGGAAGAACTCTGTGAGTTCAAGGCCAGCCTGGTCTACAGAGCAAGTTCCAGGACAGGTTCCAAAGCTACACAGAGAAACTCTATCAAGGAAGGAAGGAAGGAGGGAGGGAAGGAGGGAGGGAAGGAGGGAGGGAGGGAGGGAGGGAGGGAAGAAGGGCAGTCATGTATTTCAGAGAACCCAGAAGGGAAGATTCAGAAACAGTAAAAGAAAACTCCAACAGCACTACAGCTAAGTATGTGGTCATGTCCAGATTCTCTGCCTGACTTTGGTCCCATTCCTATTATGGAAATCATTTCCTCCAAATCTGAGGAAGACATTCCAAAACAAAACAATAGACTTTCAGATATTTCTATCTTTGTGGACAAAGCTTTCCTCAGGTTCAGGGATTAGTGTTTCTGAAGGATTGATTAGTGTGTGCAGAAACTAGGAAGTCACAGCTTCTAGGATTGCTGTAGCCTGACACTCTTCTCCTACACATAACCCCTACCTAGATTAGCTAAGCCTGAATCCTGGCACAGTAGGGTACCATGAACCTACTCTCTTAGTTACTATTCTTTGAAGAGACACCATGTCCAAGGCACCTTCTAGAAGAAAGCATTTAATTGGGGGCTTGCATACAATTTCAGGAGCTTAATGCACAAATAACATACAGAAGAGCATAAAAACAGTCAGGCATGGTGCTGATCAATAGTAGAGAGAAAGAGGGAACCTTGCCCTGGTGTTAGCTTTTGAAACATCAAAGACCCTCCTCAGTGACTCACCTCCTGCAACAAGGCTACACCTCTTAATCCTTCCTCAACACTTCCACTAGCCAATAGGGGCAATCCTCATTCAAACCATCACATGAACCTGCTTCCAGCTATATACGATAAACCCACCTCCTCAACTCAGATGTATAAAATAAAGCAGAGTTTCCAAGTTGCTGGCTTTGCCAGTGTGTCTCCATCAGATCACATGTGGCTCCCCTGAGCCCAGCTTTTCTGTCCATGGATCTGTACTTTTTTCATTTCTTCTTCACCTTGGTCAGATTTCCAGAACAAAACCACGCAGAACATGGCAGTGTATTTCCGAAAGAATAGCATTCAACTAAGAACTGGACTCTCACTGGGAATAGCAGGACAAGCAGAGGCGTGCTGCCAGGAGAGGACTTCCAAGTAGACTGCAAAGTCATAACAACTACCCCAGGAGAATTTAAATATTTCATGCATTCCTTGGCTTGGGGAGGGGAGTAGAAGCCTTCTCTGACAGGACAGGAAAAGCAAGGGAGAGTTATTCAAGGATGTTTAAAAGAAATTATCCCCAGGTTTGAGTTGTACCAGTCTATCCATAGTAACAGTGAACCCACTTTTGTTTCAAAGACAGTGGATGGGCTTTCCCAGAAGCTGGGAACATGATGGACAATGCAGTTTAGACGCATTAGTACTCTGGCAAACCTTAAAGGGTCAATCACACTTAAGGTCAGCCCAGCCAAACTTTCCCAGAAAGCTATTTTTACCCACTGTCCTGACTCACATCAGGGTTGCTACCAAAGAAGCTCAAGTTTACCTCTGTGAAATGTTATATGAATAATCCTTTCTGGGAGGTACTAGTTCTAGCATACCCATGGATGTGCATAGATTGGACTGCCAATAAACCATACAAACCATCTAGGGCAAGCAATGCCTACCCTTGTTAAGTATACAGACTTAAATGTGTACTTTCGTTCAAGGGTAAGATTTCACCCCTATCAACCAGAAGAGTGAGTGTTTCAAAACCTGGAAATCAGGATCCACTTAAGAGTAGTGTGGTTGGTGGTTTGAATAAGAATGGTCCACATAGGCTCATATATTTGAATGCTTAGTCTGCAGAAAGTGGTACCATTTGAGAAGGATTAGGAGGTGTGGCCTTGCTGGAGGAAGTGGGTCCCTGGGGATGGGTTTTAAGATTTCAAAGACCCACACCAGACCCAGAATCTTTCTTCCTGATACTAGAAGTACAACTCTCAACTACCTCTCCAATAACATGCTTGCCTGAGTGTAGCCATGCTCTTCACTTTAATGATAATGACCTAATCATCTCTAACTGTAAGCCAGCCCTGATTAACTTCTTTCTTTTATAAAAAGTTGCTATGGTCATGCAATAGAAAATGACTAAGACAAGTAGTTTAACCCAATCTGGGAAAGACCTTTGTCATAGTCATTGTTCTGTTGCTCTGAAGAGACACCATGGCCACAGAAACTCTAATAAGAGAAAACAATTAACTGGGGACTTACGTTTAATTTCAGAGGCCTAGTCAATTATCATCAAGGCAGGAAATATGGTGACAAGCATGGCAGTGCTGGAGAAGTAGTTGAGAACTACATCCTGATCAGTGGGGAGGGGTAAGAAAGACTGGACCTAGTATGGCTAGTATGGGCTATTGAACCTCAAAGCTGACCCCTAGTGACATGCTCCCTCTAGCAAGTCCACACTTCCTAATCCTTTTCAAATAGTGCCACTACATTATTACTAAGCATTCAAATATATGAGCCCATAAGGACCATTCTTATCAAACTACCACAACTTCAATGAATACTCATACAAGCATAGCCACCTGGATTTTTTACACCAGAGTAAAGAGAGCACAGAACCAATATACGAGAAACAAGATATTCATTTGTTTGGTGGAGGTTTGTATATACCCATGGAGGGATGATAGATAGATAGATAGATAGATAGATAGATAGATAGATAGATAGATAAAATAAGCACTGGTCCAGCTAGCCAACATTGCTCTTGAGAATTAAAAAAGCCCTCCCTCTGAGTATTTGCCTTGGAACCAGGAAAGTTGATTCTGGAATACATCTGATAAAATGTTTCTTCCCTGGTGGGAAATCATAAACACAAACTTTAAAGAAAGTACCTAATAACATGGTCTGGGACATTTCTGCTCAATAGAGAAGGATAAACTCCTTGGCCAAACTGGTGTTCTGTAACCAAATAACCTTAGATCATATTATGGTTCAGCAAGGGCAGATACATCCTATCACAACTGTCTCTTTTGTTGCCATCCCCATTTTCTCTAAAGTTAAATTTTATTTTTAGAAGATAAGAAGATATGCATCCTGGTTTTTAGAAATATCCCCAAAAGCATTGTCTGAGTTGCTCTGGCAGTTTCAGTTAGGAAGCCTATACATATTTGTAAAGCATTTTTGAAGAGAGCACATTCATGAGCAAGCTCTGTTTAAGATGTGTGTTAATGAGCATGCTCAGTTTAATGTCATAGTTCCATAAGGAAAGATGGTGGACACATGCCCAGGCAGGACTTCAAGGTCATGAGACACATGTTTAAATTTTAAAAGGAACGCTTCTTGGCATACTCATCTTATGTCATTAAAATCGTGGACGAGAGCCCTTTAGGCATGTTGAGTTTCTTTTTCTCAAAAAGGTTTATGCCTTTCATAGACACTTGTCTCATTTAGCTACTAACAAGTTTGACATTCTTGCCTACCACGTAAGATATGTTACTGTTCATTCTAGAAGGAAGCCATGGTGTATAAAATAATAGGGGATTGGATTATTATTATTATAAAGTAAGTCTTAGGATACCTGGGACCTCCGGTAAGATAAAGCCATGTGGAAATACATGGATTATTAGAAAATGGATGAATAAATTAAGACTGAGCAAGCCAATAAGAAGCCCACGTCGCCAGCCAACAGCTTATAACTAATGTAGCGTCTGTGTGTTTCTTTGGAGCAGAGAAGGGCAGTGGGACCTAGCCAGGCCAGAGAAAACCTCACATTACAAAAGCCTCAACAACAGATCAGATCAAACAGAAGAACTTCTGAACTTCAACACTAACCTGTTTGAATTATGTCAGTAAAGGGAAAAAAAGAAGGGGAAGGGCCGGGCGGTGGTGGCGCACGCCTTTAATCCCAGCACTCGGGAGGCAGAGACAGGCGGATCTCTGTGAGTTCGAGGCTGGGCTGGACCGATAGCCTCCAAAACAATACAGAGAAACCCTGTCTTGAAAAACCAAAAAAAAAAAAAAAAAAAAAAAAAAGAAGGGGAAGGACAAAAAGGGATAGGGAAGGAGAAAAAGGAAGGAGGAGACAGAAAGCCTATGAAAATTATAAAATGTCAGTAAGAAAATAAATGTTCACATCACAGACATCACAGTAGGAATGAAGAGAAGAAGTGGCCTTGCTTGGGTTTTATTTGCTTTAGTTGTTACATATTTTTTCGTACATATATATATTATTTCTTTGAGAATTTTATATATATTTTGACCATATTCAACCTATTTTCATATATATATATACATATTAGTTCTTTGAGAATTTTATATATATTTTAACCATATCCAACCTTCCTCTCCCAACTCCCACTCCCACTGACTCACTTCCTACTAAACTTTGCATTGTTTCCCCCATCATCAAGGCTGACTTGTACTTCCAAAATATTCTTGGATGTGTCCATCTTCCACTGGATGAGGGTGGAATCATCAACAACTCCCAACAGCTAAGAATTGCCAATGACTCCTCAGCTAAGGGTGGAACTTTATGCCCAACTCTCCTCTCCATTCTGAGATTTGTTCTTGCTTAGGTTTTCACAAGTCTTGTGCATGCTATCACAGCCCCTGTGAGTTCACATGTCTATCTGCTCTGCTGTATCCAGAGGTACTGTTTCCTTGTAGTCATTCAAGCTCTTGCATTCTTTCCACCTCCTTTTTGGCAATGTCCTAGAGTCTTTAAAACGATATGTGTGGAACCAGAGACAAGGCTGAGTAGTTAGGAACATATACTGCTCTTACATAAGACCTGAATTCAATTATCAGCACCTATGTTAGGCAGTTTCACAACTGCTTATAGCTCCAGTTCCAGGGGACCTGACTTCCTCTCCTGGCCTCCAGGAAAGGTCATACACATTCATGCTTACACGTACAAACATACATACATACATACATACATACATACATATACACATACATACACACACTTAATTTTTAAAAGAAAATACATCTTAAAAGAAAGTACATGTTTAGAACATCAGAGAAGAAGAGGAGGCTTACTTACTGATAGGTCCAGGAAGGTATCCTTGGGAGAAGAACCAGCGTTCAAGATCCCCCAGTAGAATGCAGGACCTACATAATGCTCTGGGGCAACCTCCCAGGGGGCAGAGCGGAGCCTGGAGGAGGAATCAAAATGCTAAGGAGTACTCTTCCCAGTTCTCCTTCCAATACTGACCCAGCTTTCTCCCACAGAGACCAGGATTTCATCTACATTTCTAACTAGAAGTATTAGAGGAATCACTGGAACACCTATTCTGTTCTAGTCTGAGTGGAGCATCTGATAATTTCAGTCCATCCCTTCAGATGTCTGAATCTTGGGCTTTTCATCAGCAGAGGAAAAAGTCATGACCTCTCAGATCATCAGGATGCATTGGGAATAGGGAAGCGCATACCTCTTGAAGAAACTCATCTTCATGTCCAGAGAATAAATGGTGAAATTCTTTAGCAAAGTGCCATTGATGGTAACATCCTCATCTAATCCTGTGGATGGGAAGCAGAGAAGAGACTAGCAACTGGGATTGGATATTCTCCAAGGTTTGGCACAGGATAATTTCTGTTGAGGAATACAGCCTTTAGAATAAATACTGAACCATCCTATTGTCACTTAAAATGTCTCGTTATGTGCTTCCATGCTACTGAAAACATTCCCTACTTAATATAGGGACTTTTAATAAAAGAAGACTGAGTGAGTCCTGATCTAAGATGGGCCAGCATTAAACATAATTGCTCCGCTTTCCTGCCATGGATAACAAGAAAAGGCAGAACAAAGGAGGGGGCATGAAGTAACATCATCACTCCTAGGACTGAAGTAGCCCACTTCTCAGAAGACCATTTCTGTCTTCACAACCCCCAAACAGCCACAGCTATATGCTCCAGGTAAGTCACACTTGTTTCTCAACACCAAAGCCTACCTTTCCGCTCATTTTGAATTTTCCATGAATAATTTATCCGGCCTTGATTCTCAACCAGGATCCTCAGAAGTTGACAATCCTGCTTAAGCGAACAAGTTAGTGAAAAACGAAATAGCCAACTAGAGTTCATATTCTAGAAAATATTCATTTTTCCAATTCATCTCTCTCTTTCTCTCTCTCTCTCTCTCTCTCTCTCTCTCTCTCTCTCTCTCTCTCACACACACACACACACACACACACACACCACTCCATACTCAATCTACTCTTTCTTTATTGCTGTTCCCATTAGGACAAGCTAAAAAAAATCTTTCAATCTGATTTTGGTAAGTGACCCAAACAGGAGCTGAAGGTTGAGTCAAGCCCAAGAAGAATTTCTACTCTTGCTAAATAGTGCATAATATAGGTCCTTAGACCACCAAAACTTAAAAGATGCCCTTAGATTACTTAGATTATGGCCCTACACACTTCCTGCTACAGCCCTTTGTGAGAAACCCAATGGACAAAGGTGGTAGTCAAGCCCCAGAACCAGGTTGCCTTTGAAGGGGCAGTCAAGAGTATTACCTGAACTGTGGGATTATGTACCTGAATTTTAGGAATAGTCAGGTCATAAGTATTCTCATCCAGATGTCCTATACTTGTGTCATTCAAAAACACCTATGAAATAAGAGTTGGCATCAGATTGATTGACAGGCCTATCTGAAGGACAGAGCTTTAGGTAGAAAGTGGTCACAAGGAAGAGAAAGACAGGTAGGTAGTGACTTCAGTGCTCAGATGTCTAGAAGCTGAACAGGACTTCCCAATAGACTGGGAGTTACATCAAAACAAACAATAAAAGTCTATTTGATTTGGCTCCAAGTTTCCTATGATTCCGGCATACTGGTAAAATAAATATTAGCATATAGTGAAATGAATCTGTAACTACACTCCTCAATAGCAGAGGTAAGCTATATGCCACCAGAGATACCTGCTGCTGCCTACCTGTGCTGAATCATGAACTGAAGCATAAAGATTGCCTCCACCACAGATGGAAGTCTCATAGAGGACCAATCCAAATGGCTGGCCACTGTTATTGTTTATTGGAAGATTCTCCATGGTGACTGGAGTGTGTAACATGACAGGCTAAAATGGAAACAGGGCAGGAACAGAAGGCAAAATGAGGAGAATCCATGATCCTTCTCTTAAGACTCTTGTCACTATTTGTTGGACCACACAATGGTCCTCAAGGATTTCTTGAATGAAAACAATCACATAATAGATGCTATGACAATGCTTCTATGATAATATATTTACTGTACAAGAAATTTTGAGTAATAGTACATTGTAAAGACTGCATAACCACTGTAATCATAAAATGAATCAACAGAATAAGCAAATAACACAAAATGACTGAAGATGAGAGAAACATTTTCGACTCAGCAAACATTGATTATATGGACCATTTATTGGTCTCATGTCTAAAATAGCAATAGTAGAGGTGAAGCCTGTATAAATTCAAGAATTTGGTTTCTACAGATAAGACAGGCTTCTCATTTAGATGGGAAGAAAACACATAAAATTAAAAAATACAGCCTAACTAATGGTTAATGAAGATTTCTTGCATGGATTCATACCTAAGAGACTTTCCATTTGTGGATCCTATAATAGCATTCACTAAGTGGTCATCTAAGCTGGGAGTAAGATCTGCTACAAGGTAATATACTCTGCTATGCCCATTTTATCATGCTAATTCTTCAAGTTCTTTAACATCTTCTCCAAAGGAACAACAATCCCTGACCTATAATGCCATGAAGTAGTTTTTAAACCCCCATAAAAAAGTTCCTTGATCAATGTCTCCTCTAGGACCCACACCCTTTCCCCCTATTTCTCCATGGTCCCACCCTCCACCCCTGCCCCTGCTAGTGCCAAAGCAATTCTCACCTTATTTAAGTATGGTAGGATATCAAACAATGGCAAATAGAATATTATACCCACAGGGGCATACACAGCCTTGGGAGTAGGGTGAGGCAATCGAGGCAGGGAACCTACTGTAACGAGAATAGGTCACAGGGCTAAGTAACTAAAATAAACATTCCTTTCTCTAAGCATTCCCATGGCTATCTGTGACCTCTGTATCTAGAAACAGAAGAAAAATGAGCTTTATACTAGGACATGCTCCTCTAAGGGAGATAATTGGAGCCACTTTGCATTTTGACATCTGGTAGAGACACATATCTAGGAAACATTAATTATAGTAGACACATATACCTAGTGAACATGTGTGCCTGATTTAACTTAACTGGAGACATAGAAAAGAGGACCAATAGAAAGTTCTGTGTTACATCTTTTGCAATACTGGCTTTTACCTCTGCTCTAACCCTCACTGGACAGCTAGTTAGATACATTAAAGTCAAAATCATAAGTTTCCTTTCTGCATCTGTGGTTGCTTTACACATAATATTAAGCTTTGCAAATAGGAAATTACTTGCCTTCATCATCTCATAGGAATCCAGTTTTGTTGCTTTCATATTTCAGTAAAGAAGGTTAAAGGAAATACTCATACAGCCCATCTAGCTTTTAAGTGGGAACTTGGAAGTTGAAGTAAGATTGCCCTTGCTCATTAGAGCTTATAAGCTTCTACACCCCCGCCCCGCAAAAGACTTCTCCATTTTCTCAATCCTCCACAAACTACAGGCAGCCCATGAGAGTGCCATCCCCCACTTAGTACCTGAAGCAGAAGCTAAAAGTTTCCGAAGCTTGAAATACTTTTCTGTGTAATCTCCAGCCTCGGTCAGTACAGCATCATAGTCTACAAGACAGAGGACCATGTTTGGGCCATACAGTCCTCCACAGCAGGCCCTGTTTCAGTATGGGGACATGTAGCATCAAAGTTGGGATAGATCCACCGCGCTCTATAACAGGCTGAGATGTGGGTGTGAAATGTCAACCTGGAAACATTCCCCCAAATCCTATCTGGAAACATGGGGCTCACTCTTCTCTTCTACATTCTCATAGACATTCTTGTCACTTCTACCTGGTGTCCTAGTCCCGCCTAGCTAAGCCTGAGAACAATGGGCTCAGTGAACTAAAATGAAGCAGCACATTAGGTACCCAGGATCCTACCTGCTAGAATGACAGCTGGCTGGGCAGCACGCATGTCAAAGAATAAAGGAAAGCAGACAAAAGGCCTCAGTGCTCAGTGCTCTGCACAAACTGCATGTTGAAATCTCATGATCCAAAAACATGGTTGTGGAATCTCCTCCCCAAAGCTGTAGGACTACCCATCCCAGAGAAGTGACCCCACCATCATCACTTACCATAGCTAGTCACAACACTTAGGTGCTCACTGTAATGGAGGGCTCCATTTATGAAACCAAAATTGGTTCCGCCGTGGAACATATACATGTTGAAGGAGATTCCATATTTGATAAATCTAGACACAGTATATCGAATTTCTGTTGGGGGTGGTGAAAACAGAAGGGATACAGAGACCTTAGGTAAAAACTAACATTTCCAGTTCCATTCACCACAACCAATCATTCATCTTTTTTTACTAACAAGTGGGTGGAACCATCCAGAACAATTCTTGAAGAACAAGTCCTGACACTTGCACCACTTTTTTTCCTCCCCTGCACTATAGCTTTGGTACAAATTGAATGCAAACTGCACGTACTAAGTGATAGTCTAAAACTCTTATCTTACAAATACCTAAATTTTAAAAAAGTTACACATAACTAATATGCCTTCATTCCTTCCTTCCCAGAATAATGTCTCTAGAGGTGTTGAGTTAAAAGCATCACATCAGTGCACTATGCCTGTGGCTATTTATAATTTTGACCACAAAAACTTCCATTTTGCCAGCGTGTTTAACAGTGGCTTCTCCGAGTTCCAGGACAGCCTCCAAAACAATACAGAGAAACCCTGTCTCGAAAAACCAAAAAAAAAAAAAACCCCAAAAAACAGTGGCTTCTCTTCTCTCTGGCTGCCATGAGAAGTGGGAAGATGGCAGTTTATCATGGGCCTTGGCTCTGACTATGCTCTTCACTGTTTGTTTACAAGACCACACCTCCATCTCTCTCCCTGTCTCCCTGTCTCTCTCTCTGTCTCTGTCTCTCTCTCTGTCTCTGTCTCTCTCTGTGTCTCTGTCCCTTTCTCTCTCTGTATCTATCTATCTATCATCTATCTATCTATCTATCTATCTATCTATCTATCTATCTCTATCTCCTGGATTCTGCCTGGCTACCAATCAAATGAAGGCTTTAATTCTCACACCATCACAGGAATTATGAGCAAATTAACAATGAACAACTATGTGTAGCAATCATGACACTGTGCCCCAGACACCAGTGACCACGTCTGCTGCTTGGTGACATGATGACTGGAGACAGGGCCGGGTTTATGGCAATGCTGGTGTTAATTTTACATGATCTTTTATGGTTATGGCTATGGTAGTTATGTTTCCTTGCCTTGGGTTTTCTTTTCAGTTTTGTCGTCTGAAGCTAGGTATTGTCTGTTTCTCAGTCATCAATACTTAGGTAATTGTCCCACTTCAGTACAACTGAGCTTTTCATACAGCAATAATAAAATAGCTCCATGGCAACACACTTTTGCTATATAAATGGGAATTGCCAGGCATTATTCTGAGTGGCAGCATTAAATCTTTTCAAAAATCCTTGATTCTCCTCCCCTCATTCTTTGCTTTTGAAAAACAGGACATTTCCCATCTTATTTGATGGAGATGTAGTCTTTGTATGCCTTTATGGGTGACTTGATAGTAGTTCGCTATATGTGTCAAAGCACAATAATTAAACCAGGATAAGAAATGTGCCTATGGCCGGGCGGTGGTGGCGCACGCCTTTAATCCCAGCACTCGGGAGGCAGAGCTAGACCGACAACCTCCAAAACAATACAGAGAAACCCTGTCTCATAAAAACCAAAAAAAAAAGAAAAAAGAAAGAAATGTGCCTATGTCATTAATCACTGGCCATTTTATGCTGGGTCTCGTATGGCCATTTTCTTTAGTCGTTGTAAATTTCTCAAAGGTTGCTTTAACAAGCAGACCTAACGTCCCGTCTCTGCTGCATTTTGGAGTCCCTCACTCAGCCTCCTCCTTTCTTCTCTCCACACCCTTTTCACTCTCTGATTACTATTATTCCACTCCCCTCTTCTATGAGAGCAACTTTTTAAGAAATTTCCACAAATGTAGGAGAAATTATACTTGTCATTCCTTAACTGGGTAGCTTCACTTAACACAAACAACTCCAGTTCCATCCCTGCTGCTGCAGATGGCAGGGTTTCCTTCTTTTATGACTGAACAATGCTCCATTGTGCATATTTACCACATTCTTTTTTTTCTTCTGTGTCATATACAGGTGTTCTTTCTTTTTCTTTTTATTTATTTATTATTTTATTTCATTTTACATTCCACCCACAGTTCTCCTCACCCTTCCTCCCACCCCCTTAGACTCCCCCAAGCCCATCCCCAATCCACTCCTCCTCATGGGTAAGGGCTCCCATGTAGAGTCAACATAGTCTGGCACAATAGGTTGAGACAAGGCCAGGCCCCTCTCCCATGCATTAAGGTTGAGCATGGTTTGCCACCATAGGAAGTGGGCACCAACAAGCTAGCTCCTATACTGGGATTACACTGTTTACCACATCCTTTTAATCCATTCAAAGTTAAATAATCTCCATGGGGGGCGGGCACAGAAGTGAAAGAAATCTGCCTCAAATTACAAAGTTACTGCTGAAGTGCTGGCATTGAAGTCCTGCTCTTAGGCTCCAGGATCCAAGTCCTCAACTCCCACTGCTCGTGGGTCCCTGGTAATCACTACCACTTTGTTGACCATTCTAAGAATCGTCTTCCCCAGAGATGAGTAAGACACCATGCAATGGTCCAGCACCTTTCTTAGGACACTTTCATGTCCACCTTCCCTAACTGAAGAGAACCATTTCCTGCCTCAGTTCTCTCGTGGCAGCGAACAGCCTGAGAAATATGGACTATACAGTAATGTCTTAATAACTAACATTCTGCTGGTTTCACTCAGTTGTAAGATTCCTGTGGGGTAAGTATCATACAATTTGTCCTCACAAGGTTATCTTAAGGGTAAGTAACATACAATTTGTCCTCACAAAGTCTTCTTAAGAACATGGACAGTGCTTGTAACTAGCAAAGATTAGATTGATATGTGTGTCTCCCCAGGCAAGTTATGAGCAGAGAGCTGTGTGAATGACCTGTGGCACAGGACCTTCCTGACTCAGAGTCAAAAACGATGATTCACTTACCATCTGCACTTTTAACATTGTGTTTCTTCCCCCACGTGTCATACCAGCCAGTCCAGTATTCCATAACCATAAAGGGTTTATCACTCTAGAAAGAAAGCAAATCAAACAATAAGTATAGCTTTCCCCCCGCAACAGATACGTTTTCCTATTTGATACAAACTCTCTCATACTCATATGATTTTTATTTCACATTTAAAGATTTATTTATTTTATGTATACTGTTCTCTATCTGTATATATATCCCCATGCCAGAAGAAGGCATCAGTGTTGTGCCCAAGTTGCAAAGTCCCCAGAGACCACCAGGAAGACAGACCCACTAAACTGCAAAAGCAAAGTTTAATGATTGTTCATCCACCCATGACAGGGACCCCCGTCTGACTGGCTGTCGCAGCAGCCTCCAGAGGGAGTCTATTGCTACTGTCTACTGCTAGGTTTTAAAGGCAAAAGTTACAGGATTACAGCAGTAGGTATAGGTTGGTTTCTGATTGGTTGACATTTTGGAACAATCAGGAGAATTTCTCAAAGTCATATTTTGGCATGAAATACCTGTGTACCAGTTATTTTCATTGGTAAGTGCTAAGAGAGGACATTCTGTGGTTTCTATGGCATTCTCTTGATACTTGCAGGTGGCCTGTTGTGCATAGATACCAGTAGTTTTCTGAACTATATCCTGGAGACTACAGGGGAGGTTTCGGTCCCCCCTGGAGTTTCTTTTGTGACCAAACACTTCCCAGGAATCAAGTATCTAGGAGGTTGGAGGTGGGTTGGGGGGGGTGTCCTGGAGTTTCTTTGTGTTCAGTTTTGGCCCTAGACTCTGAGAGGCCAGAGGATCTGGAGTTTCCTTGTGTCAGGGGCCTATGTGTCTTTTCTGTAGCCTGTCATGACTGCTAAAGCAGGGGGCTGAGTGAGGGTCTGGTCCCTTTATTTCTAAATTATTAAATGTAAAGTCTTTAAGTTTAGTTTACCCCTTTCAATCAGGTCCTAGTATAGATGGCTGGGAGCCACCATATTGTTGCTGAGATTTGAACTCAGAACCTCTGGTAGTGCAGTCAGTGCCCTTAACCACTGAGTCATCTCTTCAGCCCCTGATTTTTATTTCTATCAGTACTTACTTGTATATTTTTTGCTTAGAAACTAGTGTGTAAAGGTTTTTAATTCTCCTGTCTTAATGAATTATACCTTTTATGGCTACAAAATAACTACTGACACATCAAAATGACTAGTAATTATTGACCTTCTGCTATTACAAAGCACTGAGTAAAGCATTTTATGTAAGTAGTTCTATGTAACAGCCCCACAATGATAAACCACCGCCCCACTGCACAAACGATAAGTCGAGTTAGGCTACTGTCTAACTTGGCCCAGCTTGGAAGTGCTGGAGCTGGGATTTGAACTAGCAAGTGTAGTACCTGCAGCTACAGTCGTGACTATTGCTCTGTGCTATGGGGGTGATGACAAAAGACTTGTTAGCACAAATTGTACAGAAATACATTGAAGTCTTCTATTTCCCAACTCCCCAGAACTTATGTTTACCTAAGATACAGGCATTCCTTTTAACTTTTATCTTATGGATGCCTAAACTCTTGATCAAACACATGTTCAAGTTAACAACTAGATCCACTCCACTTCCACCAGCATTCTCAAGTCAGTGCAGCAATGAAGGCTCCTGCTTAAAAAGCAGTATCTTACTAGCAAGCTCTGCTCTTGGGCCAAATGCATTAAAATTTTGTCTGCACAATTCTGTCTCTCTGTCTCTGTCTCTGTCTCTGTCTCTGTCTCTCTCTCTCTCTTTCACACACACACACACACACACAAAGACAAAGCACTAACTAAAAGAAAACTAAAGTAGCTACATTCATATTAGACATACAACTCAGAAAAATAGAAATTCTAAAGGGATACATTTCTCATGCAATTTCCCAATAAAATACTATACGTTAATGTACCTAAAAGAACCCTCAAAACACTTAAGACAACCACTAATAGAACAATGGGATGAACAAACAAATCATGATCATAACTTGAAAGCAAAGACAAAGTGCATATTATTCTCAAATGTACATGGAATATTCCTCAAGACTGGCATGAAATGAATCTCAGTAAATGAGCAAGAACAGAAGTAATACAAATTATTTTCTTTGCTATCAACAGTATTAACACAGATACTAATCTAACTTGAAACAAAAATAGAGTCCTCTCAGAGAGAGCAAGCAGCATTTGTAATCACATGACTTTTACTAAATGGGACCTGTAGGTGAATTCGTTGTCTTTCTTACAGAGAATGTCATTTAGAAATCTTATTTTACATAATAAATGTGTCCAATAGGATAGAGTTGGGAATTCTAGCACATAGAGGAGACAGATATTTTTAATTCAGTTTAGTCCAGCTTCCTAGGTGACAGTCACACGTTGGAGGAAAAGTCTGTTGCATTTCCCTCGTTACTTCTGATTTCTGTTGTTTTGAACTATTGTGTTTTAAGAACAGTATAATTAGAACCGGTGTCCAAATGAAATTCCATATTTTGACTTCCCACTGTTAACTGTACTGGGGCCTCCTGTGTGAATTTTGAATTGGCTCTGAAATATTGGAGAGCACCTAGGCCCTTGTGTGAATCATCTTCTAATTCACAGTTTTGTCTTTTCCTGAGACCTATGAGAAAGTAAGACCATGTGGATAGATGGGGGACCCCTGGTTAGGTGTAAAATGCACAGCTAGTAAAGCCTGGATTAAAATGGTAATTGCAGGATCTCAGAGGAAAGAGTAGTTCTTCCAAATAAAAGGCTTTGGAAAGAATTCAGACAGTATTGTAAAATTCCTTAACTGTGAACTAATCCAGCATACAAACTGCCCTCCCTCTAACACTCCAATTCTGACAGTTTTAAAAAACATACAAAGCTGAGCGGTGGTGGCACACGCCTTTACTCTAGCACTCGGGAGGCAGAGGCAAGCGGATCTCTGTGAGTTCGAGGCCAGTCTGGTCTAAAGAGTGAGTTCCAGGACAGCCTCCAAAGCTACACAGAGAAACCCTGTCTCAAAAAGACAAAAGAAAAAAATATAAATGAATATCTGTTTTTTTCACAATTTGAAAACTATAAATATATTGTATAATATATTCAATCCACCATGCCAAACCTTCAATAACTGTTATACTGGGAAATAATGGATGGTTTTCAATTTTGGTCCTTTAGGATTATTTCAGGGTTTGTTTTCTTGGTGTATGTGTGGGGGCGGGGTCTGCTTTATGTTTTATGCTTTTGAATGCAGGAATCCAACATCAAAAGCCTCCTAATACTCCCAGGCTATACCATCTCAAGAGTTTCAAAAGTTCTCTTTTTTTGCTTACACTAGACTTGCACAACAACAAGTCAGTCAATAGTCCAACACAGAGGGCAGAGGGACCCACAAGCCTCAACCCTAGCTGAGAGACTGACAGTTGATGACTACCAGGGAAGAGGGAGTCCTGTTTCTTTAAGGGTATGGTCCCTGGGAGACTGACCAAGCACCAACCGGTGGCCCCACTACCTACTGCTCAGTATACGGCAGCACAAGTTAGACTCCATAGTTTATTTAAGAGAAAAAAAAAAGAGGACATAAAGTTAGAAGGGGGTGAATTGGGGATAAATCTGGGAGGAGTAGGTGTAGGAGCAGTGAATATCATCAAAATACATTTTATCCATGTAAGAAATTCCCAAACAATTGATAAAAATTATATTAAAATTCTCCTGCAATCTTCGGCGAGATTTTAGGTGAAGACTTTGGAATTCTCTGAGACTGTCTACTGTGGGGCTTCTGCCTCATCAGGTACTAACACTGCTGGAACAAAAGAGAAGACACTGGCTGACAACAAATGAATGGGGAAATACCAGGTTTCGGGCTGGTGGGACAAGGCTTCTAGAACTGAGGAAAGAAATACAATAATTAAAGCTTGCTCAAGGAAACTCTTTCCAGGTTTGGAGTACCAAGCTGTATTTAATGTAGTAAACAGCAATCCTTTGTTTCTGAAGTCACCTAAATGGTGAGAAAAGATTTCCAAATAACTTAAATATCACATTCACCAAGGGCACTCTCAAATTTGGGTTATTTGGTAATCTTTAGGTTAGTGTTGTCTAGTCCACCAAACTGTATTAGTATGAACGGTATTTGTGGAAAATGAAAACGGTGAAACATCTGCTTAATAAGGTGGAGCTGACTGGGTGGTGGCACACGGCTGTAATCCCAGCAGTCAGGATGCAGAGGCAGGCAGATCTCTCTGTGAGTTCCAGGCCAGTCTGGTCTACAGAGTGAGTCCAGCCAGGGCTGTTAGACAGAGAAAGCCTGTCTCAAAACAACAACAACAAAAAAGGTTGCACTGGAGAGATGACCCAGCAGTTAAAAAAAGAGCCTTGGTCCTGCCTCAACTTGGTATGCCAGACTTTGTTGACTCCCAAAGGAAGGTCTTACTCCCTCTGAAGAGTGGATAGAAGGTAGGAAGAGGGGGTAGGCAAGGTCTGGGAGAAGGGGAAGGAGGGGGAACTAGGGTTGGTATGTAAAATGAGAAAAAAAAGATTTAGTGGGAGAAGGGGATCCACATGCCTACCCTGTTGAAGAGGAAGAAATGGGCCGCGCCTAGCACCTTGTGGGCCAGGTAGTTGGGCACTATTATGGTAAGCAAACACATGGCAAGGCAGGGGAGACCGAGAGAGACAGAATGGTTCATGTCTGTGGAAAGAGGCAGATTTGAAGAGGTGAAGGCGGTGAGGAGCAGGCTGAGGTGGGCGGCCTGCTTGCCACCCACAGCCATGCCGTGTCTGCACCATGGTGTGTCTGGACCTCGGCTGCTGCCAAGGCCCATGTCTGGGTCCATGGTCCTGCCGCAGTCACGGTCTGTGTTGATGTCCATGGTTCCTGCTACCACTGAAGGTCAACAAGATAGGACTGCACAGAGTCGACTCCACCCCTCACTGACTGCAACACGAGGGAGACCTGGCCCTGACCCTCATGGGTGTAGCAACCGGGAGAACAAGTCCTACACCTCCCCCGGGCAACACAGCAGATCTGTCCTTGTTTACAGGGGCTGAGGGCAAGATGACCCTGAGCTCATGAGAATGGGAGAGCTAGTCCCACCGCCCTTGTCTGCCACGTGGTGGCGTGGGTGAGGGAAAGATCCCCCCCGCTGCTCCCCACCACCACCTGTGGCCGGCAGGAAAGATAATCCAGCCCCGTACCAGCCTCGGCCCTGAACCTTAACTGAGCAGCACAGTAGGGCTGACTCTGTCCACAGGGGCACAGGTGAGCCAGCCAGAGAATGTAAGATTGGGAGATCTGGCCCCGCCCTCATCTGCCATATAGAAACCTGGGTGAGGAAGAGATGACCCCCTCCCCCCACCCTGTGCCCCTCACGGCCTGTGGCAGGTGGGAGAGCTGGCCCCGAGGTCATGAGAGCGGGAGAGCTGCCCTTGCCCCTCATCAACTCCAGCAGCAGGGAGAGGGCCCCTGCACCTCATGTGGGTAACACGGTAGAGCTGCCCTTGGTGGTGTGAGTACCAGTGAGCTTGCCCTGAGGGCACGAAAGCAGGAGACATGGCCTTGCACCTTGCTCCATAGCCAAGGCAGTGCTGAGGGTTACCCTGGTGGTGAAGACAAGGGAGAGCAGTCGGGCTGACCAACCCTGCAACCAGCCTGACTCAGAACCAAGGCTATGGGTTGGCCCACCCCAACATTCACCCCATCTATGATCTGCTGGAGCACCTGAAGGGGCTGGTCCTGCAGACCCAAAGCTGCAAGAGCTCTATGACACAGGATAATAGCAGAACGCCCAAGAGGAGTCCTAGTGAGGGCCCAGTATTGATAGTGTAGAAGAAACCAGAGGCCTCGAGCCAAACCAATGACTTTGCAATGAACACTCACAAGTGAAGGGTATACCATGTGACCCACTGTGTCACACTACACTTTCTAAGGCAAGATTTTTCTCTTTCTTTCTTTTTATTTTCTCTTAAACTGTATTTTATTTTATTTGGTGGGGGAGGTTGCAAGAGCAAAGAGTGGACATGAGATGTGCGATGTGAGAGAGCCACAAAGAATAAATTAAAAGTTTTGTTTTGTTGTTTTTTAAGAAAGCAGGATGAGCACGCCATGGAGGATAAATCACTAATAAGTAGTGCTCATCCGTGGCATCTGCATCAGCACCCGCCTGCTGGTTCCTGCTTTGTGTTCCTGGCCTGACTTCCTTCAGTGAGGAGCTGTCAGCTGCAAGTGTAAGCTGAAATGAACCCTTTCCTCCCCAAATTGCCTTGGTCACAGTGTTTCCTGTCAGCAACAGAAACCGTGACTAAGACACCTTGCTCCCTTAAAATCAAGGTTTGAGACAGAAAGGTTTACATTCCTTAAGGCTGGTCTTGAATATACCCATTCCTTCCACCAATATTTCCTCTGGGCTTTCAGTACAGCAACAAGCCCAGAACCCTAACATTCTAGTAAAAGCACCAGCAGGTGAGAATCAGCACCCATAAACACCAGTGAAAGCCCGTTTCTTAACTGTCCTCTGAGAGAGAGGACATCATTCACCTCCTTTCATCATATTTACTTCTCATCGGGCATACGCCCCTCATGCTTCCCAAAGTGATCTCACTGATGTGGTCCACGAGTGGAGATGGTAGAAGAAAGATCCCTCTCGTCACTTCTCACAAGGTAGCTTTGACCGCCACCGAGGCTCAGGGTAAGATGGTCACATCCTTGTCATACCTCCCGTGTTCTCCTGTAACTGATGTTACAGTTGCATAGACAGCAAATCTTGAGGAAAGACACAACTCTGCATTGCTGAAAATCTTACCTGCATTTGATGAAGCTGAATAAAAGACTCCCTCACAAACGACTGCATGTTGATAGTAGTCAATGCTGCAGGGAAGGAGAGGTGCCTCTGAAACATTTGACAAGGAGGAGTAGAAGGGATAACAAGATGATGTCTGTGACCTACTTTGCAAAGCCATAAAGGCCTGTCCTAGCAATTGCCACAGCATACATACAGGAACACTATCTTCGTAGGTAAGGACACTTAAATTTAACCACACTTTGAGCATACAGACGGACCAAGGCAGGTCAAGTTAAGACAGCAACCAACAACTAGGAGATGAAGGAAAGCTTCAGAGCCCAGACTCAGCACTTTCCAGGGTATAGTAGTAAGGACAGAGTTACCAAAAGGAAGAAGCAATATCTGCCAGTCTTTAGTAAAGCTCACCTCATCATAGTCCCTAGACCCATCCACGTGCTCTTGGTGTTTGCCCATACTATTATCACTTCGTGGTTCTACTGAATCCTCTGGGATCCGCTAAGTATCTGTGTTGAGTCTATGACTAGGACTAAGATGATGCAATGCCAGGACTGACCCTTTGGTTGCAGAGTGTTGTGTTTACACTTACCCAATAGCTGCCTATGCGATTGCCTGCGCTGGTGGGGATAAACGGGGCCCTGAGCCATGTCCCAAACCAGCCTAGATTCCTACCTATGAAATTCTTTTAAAAAGTAAAAGGTCTACTTAGGATGAAGAGCTCCATCAATACTCTGTTTAAACAGGGAAAAAAAAAGTGACACACATGGTATTTAAACTCTGGGCTGTGATGTTGAACTTCATTTTATATCATATCCAATCTCTGAGATCTGTCTCAATAGACATGGGAAAGAGGCTCAGAAATATATCTGGTTCTCTTTGATTCTTCTTTACAACGTGTATTGGCTGGCTAAGAGCCTTGGTTGTCCGGTAAAGTGACTGTAAACCAGTACCTCCTTTGACGGAGCCTATCTGAATTCCTTCATGATCATCTGAGGTCAAGAGGAGCTCCACAATCCCTCTCTTCAGCATAGCCTGTTGGGAAAATGAAGATTATGAACCCACTTTTCTTGCTCCCATGGGAAAGAGCAGATATAGGGAAATAGATAATAAAGGCAGTTTGGTTCAGATGGAGAGTGTGTAAACTACAAAGAAAGGTATATGGAAAGTCTCCCAGATGTTCATACAGTTAAGAATTGTGCTCAGCATGATGCTAGCGGGAGATGATAGACACCTTAGAAAGTGGAGCCTAAGGGGAGGTCCTTAGGTCTTTGGAGGTATGTTCTGAAAGGAGACAGCGGTAATCCGGTTCCTTTCTCTTTTCTTGCACTACAAGACCAGGAAGTAAGTGGCTTGACTCTGCCTGGCACTTCTGTGGTGATATGCACCGTTTTTCAACACAAGTCCCATTAGAGCCAACCAATTATGGACTGGAATTGCAACTCTACGAGCCAATGTAAGTCTATTGTGCTGTAGATTAATTATTTCAGGTATTGTTTACTTTTTAATTGGTATATATTAATTATACATAATAATGGTTTCATCATGATTTTTCATACATGCATATGACTTCTTTGATTATATATAAGGTATCTGGTACAGTAGTGAGACTTTGGTAAACACAGAAAGGCCTGAAGGCAAAGTGACTATCTACAACTTAGGCAATGGGGAAATTGCCACTTTAGGCTCAACTTGGTGTGGTTCCAGATGCTACACTAAAGAAGCAGAGGGCTGTGGGACTTGACACATGGTAAATGAAAGCTGAGTTTCCTCAATGACCACGCTATGGAAGTACATAAATTACAACAGAGAGAAAAACGCTGCAAGAATTTGGTACTATTGTAATGCTTGAAAACTAACTCCATTTCAAACGAAAAATCTTGGGCCCTTATTCTTAGCCCAGGGATTGGTAACCACAGGATGCTTGGACCCTACCCTAAGTTCCCATCACAAGCTGAGTGTGGACAGCACTCTAAAGAGGATGCTGATCTCAGGGTCACTTGGTTTATTTCTCAAAATTGCTTCCCCTTCCTTCATTGTGCAATTGTTATCCAACAATAGTAATGAAATTCTCATTTTGCTTCTGTAGTCTCACTTAGCTGCTTCTTGTTTGGGGGGGGACAAATGTCTCACATAGCAGAAAATCCCCAGGGTTGAGACAATTGTGGTGTGTGCCTTTGAAAATTCCAGTCCCTGTCTGTCTTCTTTTGCAGCAGTTCTCAGATTGGCAAAATTGACTTTGCCATAATGCTGCTATATAAACTTGTTTTCTATCTTTTAAGTTTTGTCCGATGGTCTTTCTAGTTGCCTCAAACTCCCCCATACTATAAGGAAGAAGTGACCTTGTCAGGTCCTAAGAGTACCAATAAACTAACAAAGTTTGAGTGGATTCTATCAGCAGAAACAAGAAATGCTGCTGTGTCTGTGGGAAGGAGAGCCATATTCTGAAAACTCTGCTTGTATCCTAGGTCCTGGAAATCAAACTGATGGCTCAGAAAGCAGAGGGTCTTCCTGTCCATTACATTTGTGTAGCCACATAAAGTCCTAGGAATGAGATTAAGTGGTAACCCTTGTTGTTGCTGTTGTTTAAGATAGTGTTTCCTGGAGAGTAAGCTGCCCTTGGACTTGCTACATAGCTGAGGATGCTCTTGAGCGCTTGGTCCTCCTCCCTCATCCTCCTAAGCGCTGAGATTACAGGCTCAATAACTTAAAAAAAAAACAAGAAGAAAAATAATACTAACTGAACATCGCTGACTGACTTCAGGCTATCAGTTCCTGTTTTCTGTGCTCGTAGAGTCAAGCAGGTAGTACCACACCTAGCTGAGTCAGGTCAGAACCTGGAAGTTGTATCATGCTTTGTACCCTGAAGACCAAGTCCAACTGAGACTGGAGCCTCCTGGATTCCTTAAGGGAGGGAAATCAAGCACAACGAGGGCTCTAAGATACAAGAAAGGGCTCTAGCATGACTGTACATAATCGCAGATCCAAGAAGACAGATATAAATACTATGAACCAAAAAGCTGCAGGACATGATGCATTTTGAATGGTGGTACCCAATTTCCATATTTTAATAAGGTCCTTAGAGCAATGGTTCCTAATACCACATTTTGTCTAATAACAAAGTTATTCATATCCATCTTGATTGACAGGATTGATGCTCACATGTCAATGATGGAGATCATCAGTAAGTGTTTATTTCCTCCAAATTAAAACATTACCTCCTGGGTGGAAGAGAGAAGCTCAGAAAGTAAATGAATCCTCAAAGGCCCGAGAAGTAAATAAAGTTTACAATGACATGAAACAGAAGATTCACAAGGCTCGCTGGGCACGGGTGGTGCATGCCTTTAATCCCAGCACTTGGGAGGCAGAGGCAGGTGGATCTCTGTGAGTTCGAGGCCAGCCTGGTCTACAGAACGAGTTCCAGGGAAGCCTCCAAAACAATACAGAGAAACCCTGTCTCGAAAAAAAAAAAGATTCACAAGGCTCCTCCCCATCGTTACACACTCAGTAACAACTGCTGTAAAGGGGAGACTACAACCACTAAACTGCCTGCAAACCATGTCAGGAGCTCCAAAGACAGGGCTGTATGGGCTTTTCAGTGATGCAGCTATCTTTGACTCATATATGCCTCTGTAAATAACCCCAATTAGATCGCTGATTCATTAACCTAGACTTGGGTGAAAGCATTTCTTCATTCTATCAGTAGTTTCCTAACGGGTTGTTCACGTCTCTCCAAGAAAAGTCACAGAACACCCAGGAGGCTGGATATCAGGCATGCAATTTAGAAAGATACAAAATTAGGAAGAAGTCTTAAAAATGTGAGTGCAAAGCAACTATTATTACTTACCTCCTTAATGTATTCCATGTAGTCCTTGTCCTTACCAAATGAACCATATTCATTCTCTATTTGGATAGCAATAACAGGGCCACCATGGAGGTACTGGAAAGCAAACAGATGATGGTTAGAGAACAACCTTGCTATTGGAGCAGAAGCCTGGAGTCCAGGACTGCTAAGAAGGATACCAGAACTGATATGGTACTTTCCCTCAGGCCTGTTGGAAACTGGCACCTTCATTCATCTCCAGGCATGCAAGCTCCCGAAGGTTTTTCTACCTTCCACAATGCTTTGTGGCTACAGGACCAGCAGTTTCCTTTCTGTTTCGCATATTAATTAGCTATGAGCACTTAAACCCACAAGTTCACTTCCACATCTACCCTGTCTACCCAATCCATCATGTAGGCTTCCTCTCCACTCTTCCCGCCTTAGAATGAACCCCCTCCATTCTCTTCCCCACCCCATCCCACCCCCAGGAGCAGGTACTTTGCATGGTCCCCTGTCTTTTATGTTCTTTCCTCCTTTACTTCTAAACTGGTTGGCTTCCATTATCCTTTCACCATGGATGTGACACAGAGCCTGTACTCAGTAAGCACTAACTGGAAGCTATCAAAACCCAGGAAGAAAACCACTGGCTTCATTAGTCATCAGCTTCTTGTCCGCAAACACAAGGAGTTCTATACTTTGTATTAAAAAGAACATGCATACACCTACTTTGTATGCTGCAATGGGAGGATTATATAAAAAATATGGCTTAAAAATGGTTGTCCCCTAAAAAGACAACAAAGTTACTATAGGCAGCATGGGAAGAATTATATTTACCATAATTTTTTACACTCTTTTGAATTTTCCCCAGCATTAACCAGTTAAAAGAACAGGGGTAATTTAGAGTATTCCTTGTCAGCGAGTGGGGATCAGTGAGTTTAGCAGATATCAGCCACGTACAGACAGACAACTGGAGTAACCTTCTGTGTGATCCCTGTCTCTTGTGATGTCTTTTTAGACGGTCCGGGGCAAAGTCACAAGGAACAATCAAGGAGTCTATCTATCCTGAGGGTCTAGATCTACCTTGTGAGAAAGTCAGTATAATATCCCAGAGAAACTGCGGATGGCATACTCCATGATGAGACACAATATTTCTCTAACGTGAATGTTGTTAGATCACAGACCTTCTAGCAGCCCCCACCCCCGGGGAAGTCAGGCCAGGCTCCCTTGCAGCTCTCTGAGACAGAGAACTGATAAACCATGTTGTGGGAGTCTGAACTACAATCTTACTTTTATCTAGTGTTTCCCTGCCTTGTGACCGTTGGCATACAGGCTAGGTCAAGCTAGGTCACTTATTATGGAGGTCACCTGGACCTCTCCAAAACACAAAACAATAACGTTTGTAGCAATTATAAACTCCCCCTATGCTTTGGAATTGGACTCTCCCAAGATGCCACCATACTCCCTGTGATATGACATCATTACTCTTCTAACTTCTGTGGTTTTCCAACCCTGCACTTGAAAGGTAACTCATCTGTACATACACTTTCCATAGCCACCCTGCTCTTTCTGACGACTATGAGGAGGGACGTTTTCACCTGGAGAGGAAGTATTCTGGGAATCAGATGATCAAAATACTTATCAACAGCCTCAAGAAATTCATGGCTGGTTGTTCTCAGTTGTGACTCAGGGTAGCGCAGAAGCCAGCTAGGGACAAAGAAGCAAAGCATTAGTATGTGAAACAGGAAGTAGGAAAGAAGATGGCTCTAGCCAGCTGAGCACAGCAGAGGTCTCTGCTCCGAGCCACCAATCACTGGATATCCTTCTGTCCTCCTAACACCCAAAGCATCGTAATACTCCAGGTGCTCAAGAGATCTGTGTCATATGAGCTTTTCACGATATCCCCCAAGGACTCCAGAGATGCATGAGTCAAACGAAGAAAGAAGCCACCCCCAGCTCAAGGCACTGTAGACCTTCCCAGCTCTGGCTAATCAAGCTCAAGGACTGATCCCAGCAGCACTCTCAAGTGTCCTCTTTTTTCCATGCTTCCCAGAACTCCATGCTCCTTCAGCTCACTAGAATAGAACATGATCTGTAGCCCTTATCACAGTCTCCACTCCTCAGGCTCAGGGTCACATTTTTCTCTAAGATCTAAGACTCCAAACAAAACGGTAGCTCACAGGCCAATGAACACCCTACATGTGCCACTGGGGGAGTAACTGGCTTCCCCAGTGCTCCTGTAGTAGCTTAAGTTCAGGCTTCTTCTGTGCACCGCCTGGTTGTAGCAGATCCTTAGCTGGGAGGAAAATTTTAGTTTTGCTTCTGACCCAAGAGACAGCAAGGGCCAACCTGAAGGCAGAACCTAGAAGTACTAGTGTCCTGTCACTGAGAAAGGTGACAGAAAAGGACCCTATATTCTCACCCTGGGCCTCTGTCAACTGGGCTTGAGATTAGGTGTCATGATAAGAGAACAAGCCAGAAAAGCAAGAAGATAGAAAAGGAGATGAGGTCTCAGCATGTGGCAAAGTGGCCTGTCTTCAGCCAGAGGCACATCTGGGGTCTCTAGAATGAGCCCAGAAGTTGTCACCATGTTCCTCTAGAGTCCCTTTCTTCCAGCTCATGAAAACAACACATGTCCATTTCACCCTTTCTGTGGAGCAACAGGAAGGTGATCCCTGCATGGCCACAGCTGCCCTTGCACCGGTCTTCATGGCCACATGCCCAATGCACCAGGTCCCCCGTCTCAAGTCTGCTTCTGCAGCCCAGGATGACAGCAGAACACAGACCTCCCCACCTCACTCTAGGCATCACTGTCAGGGAAAGAAGTCCAGAGTTCAATTCAGGACACAAATGGTGACAGCAATAGTCATGTTCACGACCTTGAAATGTGGCTCACTATAAAGCAAAACACCTTCCTAAGCCACAGCACTGGATTCTGGGGTAGCTCACCTGGGTAACCCACCTAGGTCAACCTCAGCACAGATATACGGCCCTGGTCGAAGAATCACCCACAGGCCAAGACTTGCAGCCAGCGAAACATAGGCCCTAGAAGGGGAAACAAAGTCAGTCCCTTTGTGGGCAGCCCAAAGGGGAGGTTGGGCATAGAGGGAACTCACAGACACAACAGTATCTAGGGATGTCCTCTATTTTCCTTCCCTTCCTCTCTTAACCAAGGAGGAGAGTGGCTTCTCCTTAAACCAACCTAGCAGGGAACCCTTGCACCAGGGAGGAGACCAGAGGCCCTGTGAGCTGTGTCTGTCCTAGCTTCCAACATCACAACCATTTCCAGAGGCCTACTGGAGAGGTCACATTGAGTACAGGGGCTCAGTGCCCAGCATCAGCCTTGCTAACCTGAGGAAGCCAACTCAGGTGACTGACTTCTCTATAGTCTGGCAACATCTGGTGTCTTAGCCCCCTAGCTTCCGAAAAAAGGAAGGTCAGAATCTTCAGGATGGCAGGTCATGGCTAGGGGATGCCCAGATGCTGGGTGCAGACCCTTTCTCCTAAGAACAAGGCTTCATAGCTGAGACACACTGAGGGCTACTCTTATATGCCAAGTATCCTCCTCCCCAGTTGCAGGCTTCCTTGGTGAGCTCACAGAAGCAGAACAAACACATACTCCAGGTCCAGTATCTCAGAGAAGTCAAATGTCCCCCTCTCCTGTTCATGGAGGTTCCATGGGATGTAGCTAGAAGAAGGGACAAAGAAGTACAATAAGCATCATGTTACCCCCATTCATACGGCATACTAAACCCTAGTGTGTCTATGTTGCATTGAGTTGAAGCTTCCAATGAGAATTAACTTCTGCTACACAGACAAATCCATATTTCCCCTATTATCCAACTATGCTTCAAGATACTGATTATCCTAGGTTTTCATGGGTTTATATATGTTCTCCCAAAGCCCCATTCTTTTAAATAACTATCAAAAATCATAAAGGGAATGGAAAAACACAACAAAAATATTTTCAACCATTATTATTAAGAATTAACTAAAATAAGAATAATCAAATAGTTTCTACAAGCAAGTAGGATAAAGAACAGTTCCACCTCTCAAGCTCAGGAAGGAGAGAGGCAAAGAGGGCTAACACCCACAGGACTATTAAAGGACATATGTTTTGTTCCTACTACGTGACTTTGTGTGTTGATGATACAGTTTGGAGCGTAGGGCACCTAACATCATTTCCCACAAAGCTTTGATTTTTAAACAAGTGGTTTCATGCAGTGAGAAAATTTAAGGTGATAAAAGTGTTGTATGATAATGGAACTGACAGTGTTTAGGTGGGGGAATGAAAAAGTTGGTTTTCTGAAAAGAACATCCGTAGCAACATTTATAGCTATAACTTGTGAGAAAAGAATGAAAATACCAAACTCTACTTACAAATAACTTTAAGGAAAAGGTATGGAAAAATAAAAATTTAAAAAAATTACACAGATAAGGTAAAACTGCTCCTCCAGCTACTAGCAGGAAAATCAATTCTAAATTTGTGAACTGATAGTAAATGTGGTCTGAACTAAAGATAGAAAAGGATCCATTCAGCAAATAAACTATCATGACTTTCTATCCACTTAAAAACGTAGCGTTGAGTAAAGAAGAAACTGACTCAGATAAGAGATGGATAAAGCAGCTCCAAGCCAGAGATGGAGGAATGAAATGAATAAGACACAAAGATAATAAACAGCAAAGACATGATATGGATATAGATTTCAAATAGACAGCTAAACTTCAGATTCTGGGCTGAGGAGGTGATCCAGAGGGCACGTGCTTGTCCCACAAGTGTGAGGACCTGAGTGAAAATCTCCAGAACCCATGAGTACAAAAGCCAGATGTGTAGTTCAAGCATCTTTAACCACAATGGTCTTACGCCTGGGGTGTGAGAAGAAAACAGGAAAATTCCCAGAAATGCATGGTTCAGTTATCTTGGCATACACAATGAAAAGACAACAGAGACTCTGTGTAAAATAAGGTAGAAGATGAGGAGTGACACCTAAGATTGTCTCTGACATCCACCCATGCATGGTATGTGTTCACATGCATACACAAATGTACACAGTGCACACAAACAGGCACACACAGCAGATCTAATAAGTGCATAAAGAACAAAATAGCCAACAAATTTATATGGGGTGGTTGTTGAGACTAGGTTTCAATATACTATGTATGTAGCCCAAGATGACTTCTAATTCAGAATTCTCCTGCCTCAGCCCCTCAGTGTGCTAGGACTATAGGCACACCACCATTCCACACCTGGACCCACCCAGTTTTGAAAAGGCAACTGAATAATACCACAAGGACTACCACAGTAAATTTGAAAAGGTCCATATTGCAACAAAATTAGAAAATAACACCTAAAAATGATAAAGATGAGGATAAACAAATAAGAGAAAAACATATCTTCAAATGGCTAATGGGTCAATAAGAAAAATACCACAAATTCATGAAATATTTTAAACTAAATGCCTTTGAAAACAGTATGTTCAACTCCAAAGAAAAGAAAGTGTAAGGGAAGGGGATGGTAAATGAAATGAAGTAGACATGGGAATCTGTGCATAGTTCAGAAATTGTGAAACAGAAATGCAAACAGTACAGAAGTGATCAACAACGCTGCAAACTACTTGTGTAGAAAGACTAAAGAGCACACAATGAGAGTAAGAAAGGGAAAGTAACCCAAATGCACAACACATATGTAACTTCTGGTACGTACAGAACAGAAACATGGAAGCATTGTAGTCTGAGTAAACCCAAAAATAGAAAGGTAAGGAAAAGACATAGACAAATAAGATACATTCAGGAGAATGAGAAGACATGATTTCATAATTAACCAAGGTCCCCAAATCACCACCGCACAGCCATAGATTACATCACAGGACCTTACAGGTAAATCTTCACAAGCATTCACTTTAAGGGCAAGTGTGTATAAATTATTTTCAGTGAATAGAAAAAGGTTCACTCTGTGACCGTACTTATAAGACTGAGATGAAGACTGGACAAAGGCACACATAAAATTTAAATCAATTTCACTTATAACCATAGATGAACGTATTTACGATAAACCACTGCCAAACCAAATCTACCAGTTAATGCATGCATGTACACCTGTGTGTGTCTTACAACTAGAGTTCATTCAAGGACTGTAAGCTAACTGAATATCAGCAAAATTGCCCATGCAAATTCAAAAGAATTAAATGATACCACTAATAGCTCTTAATAAAACCCAATAAGTATTAACTGGGAATGTAATTCAGCAATAGATTGCTTGCCTGGTGTATGCAAGGTTTCCATCAACTGTACTGCCAAACCTAGAAATACTCAAAATTACTGGTATATTAAGTGAGCCACTCGTAGGCTGACTGCCTCTCATTCTCACATTTTCATAAGATGGTTTCGGTGACCGGGTGTTAAGCTTTGCCACCAAACACTTTTGAAGGACACACAAAGTAAGGATCTCTAATGCTCAAGCAGGTCCTGCAGTAGAGATGGCAACTGAGGGGCTTTCTTTTTTTAAAAACTGCTTGAGTCCCCTCCGGCCCCTGTCCTGTGCTTGAGTTGAGTGGCGGCTGTGTTCTGGGCCCCAACTCCACAGACATCCCCCTGCTTCCGTCTTCCTGGGCCTACTCCATGCCTGGAGTGGACCCACCCCACCAGAAGAGAACACTCTGAGTCTGGCCACACCTCAGTCTTCAGTCCCCTCTGGCCCCTTGCCCTGTGTTTGAGGTCAGTGGGGGCTGTGTTCTGGGCCCCAACTCCCAACATCCCCCTACTTCTGTCTTCCTGGGCCTGCTCCATGCCCAAAGTGGACCCGCCCCACATGAAAGGATCAACCCGAGTCTGGACACACCTCAGTCTTCAGTCCCCTCAGTGCCCTCCCTGAGCTTGAGTCTTCAGTCCCCTCTGGCCACCGCCCTGTGTTTAAGAGTGTCTCAGACCCACCTGCACCCATCATGAGACCCATCAGAGTATTGGACCTGCTTGAAGGCATTGGAAGAGAATCTTAGACCCATACCCACCAGGAGAAGAGACCCCACGAGCTCCCCCTGAAAGAAGGGATGGGAAGACCGCAATATAGAAACCCAGCCAACAACAGGAAAACCAATGTGACACCACCAGAGTCTAGAGACTCTACACCAGCAAGACCTGAACATTCCAACACAGATGAAACAGAAAAGAATGACCTTCAAAACAACCTCATGCAAATGATAGAGGCCCTCAAAGAAGATATGAGAAAATCCCTTAAAGAAACAGAAAAAAGAACAAACCAAAAAAAATGCAAGAAATCAACAAGTCTCTCAAAGAAAGCCAAGAAAAAACAATCAAACATATGAAGGAAACAATTCAAACAGTACAAGACCTGAAAACTGAAATAGCAGTAGTAAAGGAAACACAAACTGAGAGAATTCTGGACATAGAAAAGCTGAGTAAACGATCAGGAACTACAGATGCAAGCATAACCAACAGAATACAAGATATGGAAGAGAGAATCTCAGGCGCTGAAGATAAACTAGAACAAATACATTCATCAACCAAAGAAAACCTTAAATCCAACAAATCCTTAAGACAAAATATCCAGGAAATATGTGACACTGTGAAAAGACCAAACCTAAGAAGAATAGGTATAGATGAAGGCAAAGAAGCCCAACTCAAAGGTGCAGAAAATATATTCAATAAAATCATAGAAGAAATGAAAAAGGGAACATAACAACAGACACTGGGGAAATCAAGACAATCATCAGGTCATACTTTGAAAACCTGTACTGCACAAAATTTGAAAATTTAAAGGAAATGGACAGTTTTCTGGATAGATATCACTTACCAAAATTAAATCAAGAACAGATAAACAATTTAAATAGACCCATAACCCCTAAAGAAATGGAAGCAGCCATCAAAAGTCTCCCAACAAAAAAAGTCTAGGGCCAGATGTTTTAAGTGGAGAATTCTACCAGAAATTCAAAGAAGAGCTAATACAAATAGTCTTAAAATTGTTCCACACAATAGAAGCAGAATGATCACTGCCAAACTCTTTTTATCAGGCTACGATCACCTTAGTACCCAAACCACACAAAGACACAACTAAGATAGGGAACTACAGACCAATCGCCCTCATGAACATTAATGCAAAAATACTTAACAGTATACTGGCAAATTGGATCCAAGAACAAGTCAGAAAACTCATCCACCATGACCAAGTAGGCTTCATTCCAGGGATGCAGAGATGGTTCAACATACAAAAATCCATCAATGTAATCCACCATATAAATAAGTTGAGAAACAAAAATAACATGATCATCTCACTAGATACTGAAAAAGCCTTTGACAAAATCCAACACCCATTCATGATAAAGGTCTTAGAGAGATCTGGGATAACAAGAACATACCTAAACATAATAAAGGCAACATACAGCAAACCTACAGCCAACATCAAACTAAATGGAGAGAAACTCAAGGCAATTCCTCTAAAGTCAGGAACAAGACAAGGTTGCCCACTCTCTCCCTCTCTCTTCAGTATTGTACTTGAAATTCTGCTAGAGCAGAAAGACAACAAAAGGAGATCAAGGGGATACAAAATGGAAATGAAGAAGTTAAACTTTCACTATTTGCTGATGATATGATAGTCTAAGTAAGTAACCTGAAGAATTCCACCAGGGGACTCCTACAGCTGATAAACACTTTCAGCAAAGTGGCAGAATACAAGATTAACTCAAAAAATCAGTAGCCCTACTATATATAGACAATAAATGTGTTGAGAAAGAAAATCAGAGAAACATCACCTGTTGCAATAGCCACAAATATCATAAAATATCTTGGGGTATCTCTAACCAAACAGATGAAAGACCTGTATGACAAGAACTTTGAGTCTTTAAAGAAAGAAATCAAAGAAGATATGAGAAAATGGAAAGATCTCCCATGCTCTTGGATAGGCAAGATCAACATAGTAAAACTTGCAATCTTGCCAAAAGTAATCTACAGATTCAATGCAATCCCTATCAGAATCCCAGGACAATTCTTCAAAGACCTTTAAAGGACAAGTCTCAACTTTATATGGAAAAACAAAAGACTCAGGATAGCCAAAACAACCCTGTACAATAAAGGAACTGCAGGAGGCATCACCATCCCTGAGATATAGTAATGAAAACAGCTTGGTATTGGCACAAAAATAGACAGGTAGACCAATGGAATTGAATTGAAGACCCTGATATTAACCCATACACCTATGAACACCCACAGGACTATTAAAGGACATACGTTTTGTTCATACTGGTTAGCTTGCCAGTTGGTGTCATCCAGTAGTGGAGAGACTACCTTAAATGCCTTCCCCCCCGATAATGAGAGTGGCTGATGAAAGCTGAGGCAGACATCCACAGTTAAACACTGAACTGAATTCCTGGAAATCAGCTGAAGAGAGGGAGGAGTGACAAGCAAAGGAGTCAAGACCAGGCTGGTGAAACCCATAGAGGTAGCTGACCTGAACAAGGGGAAGCCCTTGGACCCCAGACTGGTGACTGAGTGTCCAGCATCGGACTGATCCAGACCCCCTGAACGTGGGTGTCAGTGAGGAGGCCTCAGCAATCTATGGGGCCTTGGATAGTAGACCAGTATTTAGCTCTGGCGTACAAATGGACTTTGGGAGCCCATCCCACATAGAGGGATGCTATCTCAGCCTGGACACATGGGGGAGGGCCTAGGTCCTGCTGAAGATGATATGACAGACTTTGAAGATTCCCCAGGGAGGGTGAGGAGCAGAGGGGGAAATGGGGTGGAGGGTTGGGGGTTGGTGGGGGTGGGAGAGGAGGGGAGGGTGAGAGAGCTGGGATTGACATGCCAAGCAAGCTTGTTTCCAATTTAAATAAATTAAAAACAAAAAACTGCTCAATATAGCATAACCCATGACAACCAATGAAGAATTAGGAAGTTGATGTCAAGTTAAATATCCTCACATTAATATAATTAATATTTATTATAGGTATAAAGCATCATATAATACATCGCATTTTACTGAAACCTTTTGTACTCTCTCTCCATACTTTAGATACTGAGTTTCACAGGGATTATTTATTTTTTACTGATGTTTCTTAATAAAACTCCATGAGTTGACCATGCAAATAGCAGACTTCTCTAATTAATCAAAAATGTAACTGATAATCAAGAAGTATAAAACCCAGAAGAAGAAGAGGAGGAAGAAGAAAGGGAAGGCAGGAGGGAAAAAGGAAGGGGGAGGGACTCATTAACAGTCTTACCTATAAAACCTGCAGGTTCCAATAATGACAATCTGGCAAGATCTGCCCATTGAACCTATAATAGCATGAATGGCAACCAACTGACTTTTTATTGGATTTGAGGTCTACTCCATAGGAGGTAACACATGCCTGCTGCTATAAACCTGGGCAGCTGGCTGGGAAGAGCATAGGCTATAGGGAATAAACTAATACTACCAGTTTGCTAAATGGAAATGTGGTCTGTTTTGTTTAATTCTGGGTTTTTTGTTTGTTTGTTTGTTTTCCTTTTATTGAAAACAGATTCTTCTCACATACTATATCCTGATTACGGTTTCCCTTCCCTCTAGTCCTCCCAGTTCCTCTCCATCTTCCATCGGCATCCAATCTCTTTCCATCTTTCATTAGAAAAGAACGGGCTTTTAATAGATCATAAAATATAACAAAATAAAATATAATAAGATAAAACAAAAACTATCACATCAGAGCTGGTCAGAAAATCAAACAGAAGGAAAAGAGCCCAAGAGAAGGCACAAGAATCAGAGACCCATTCATTAACACTAAATTGGAAGGCATAATATAAATATAATAAAGTTAACTTCTGTATACTCATGTTTATATCCATAGATCAGTGCTGTTCTTGGCCTTCATCAAAGAAATTTCAAATAGCAGCTAGTCAAAGTGCTGTGAAGAAGGAATGCTATAGTGCTCAACTCTAAATGGTCTGTCTGTGTCAGCCCCCCAAAGCTTAGGAAATGTCACCAGAGAGAATGTGGGAAATATATAAGAGTCAAAGGAAGGCAAGGTGTGCTGTGAATGACTGTCTGGACACAGCATCACCATTGCACCCTCGACCTCACTAGGGCTGATGTAACCTGTAAAGAGCTTCGCAAGACTACACCTGTCAACATTCCATCATGGAAGAAGGATTTATGAACACCCCATGGACTACTGATAGACTAGGGGATGGGACATTACTTCCTTTAGTGGTGTGGCCACTAATAAGTTTCCCATACACCAGGAAATAACCTCCCATTCATTCGTTCTCATGCAAGAAACCCTAACTAAACTGAGTCTGTGAAAGTAGACAAGAAAATAGAAAAGATGTTTGTTGGAAAGAAGGGTTTCTGTGGGAAATCGGGATGTAATAGGAGGCAAAAAATGACCAAAGTTCATTATATACATGTATGAGACTGCCATGGGATAAAAAAAAGCAACAACAAAGAATAGGTAGCTATTATAGAAGCTTCAGATTGTTTCTGTGACCATGGGAGAGCTGTTCTCATTTCCCATCTGACAGACGAACCCTACAGCTGCCCAGGCCCAGACCCAGGCTTATGACTTGGCCTGCCCCAACATCCACATCATCTATGATCTGCTGGAGCACAGGAAGGGACCTGACACTCAGACCCAAAGCTGTAGGATCTCCACAACACAGGGAACCAGTGGGATGTTCAGGAAGAGTCCTACTCGGGGTTCAGTATCCAATGTGTATTGGAGACCAGGGACCTCGAACCAGACTGATGACTTTTTGCAGTGAACACTTTCAAGTAGAGATTTGTGGACAAAGGTGTATACTTTGTGACTTGTTGAAGGGCACTGCAGCCTCCGTGATGAGATTTTTTAATTCCTTCCGTTTCGCTTTTATTCATTTTATCGTCTTCCTTTTTATTTCCTCTTGAATTTTGTTTTATTGGGAGGGGTGCAGTGGCGGAGGGCAGATGCCAAGGGATGGGCGGGGAATGAATAAGATCAAGATACATGGTATGAAATTTAGGAAAGATCTCTTTGTTTCCACCATTAAGAATAAAAAATATTAAAATATGCATCCACTAAGTGACCCAATGACACTTGCTGAAAATCCACCCATACTCTAGCAAACTTTGTCCAAGGCTTTGCTCACAGAGCTAAGCATGCTATTTAAGGGACAACTGGACACAATGTAAAAGGATCTGCTGGAAATGCCTAGTCAGAGTTAACTCTTCACACTGTGCTGTCAAACACAGAACCTGACTTTGTCACTCTGCAACCCTGACAGGAGCCCTGTAGGCTACTAGGTCAGAAGGCTCAAGAGAGGTACTCACGTGGTGACAGTGTTGAATCCACAGGCCTGAAGCTTCAGCAAGCGGTCCTTCCAATACTCCCTGGGCACTCGGAAATAGTGGATGGAGCCTCCAACTATCATGAACTTGTGACCTTCCAGGGTGAAGTACGCTTTGCCCTGAGCATTGATGTCTGTGCTAAGTCCCACAGATCTGTCCTTGAGCTTCAAAGGGGTCAAATGAGACCAGCTAAACCTGGATTGGAGGGAAAAGAGAGAGGAGGTGCGGGTGCAGGCCCCCCCGGGGGGCAGTGAGGCTCCCATTAGCAGGACAGGCTAGCCCGCTTGTGCTCCTTACTTTCCGCGGAAAAAGAAACAAAGCTCCCCGCTCCCTTCTCGCACCAACCTGGCAGCAGACAGTTTAAGCATGTCATCTCTGTATTCAGAGAGAGGAGCAAGACCTGATAAAACAAGTGGCAGGAAGAAGAGGGCCATCATTCTCTTCCAGGAGAGACACTTGCTGTAAGGAAAAGAGACAATGACAAGGGGAACACAGTGACGAGGGCTGGGAACCTTCTAGAGGCCCGTGGCAAAGGACACACATCACGGGTAGGTGTTCTCCCAGGAAACCTAGTGTAAGGGAGTCTGTAGCTCCACCCAGCTGCAGCTCCAAGTACCCCAACTCCAGGGCTCCCACAAATCCCCCCCCATAGGACCTAAAACTTAGGACATGCCGCATCAGGACAAGGCCGGGCACTTGGGGGTAAGGGATTTAGGAAAGGGAGGGCACTTCATGAACAGAGTCCAGGGAGGACCCTACCAAAACACCTCCTCACCATCCACAACTGCACTGTCAAGCCAAGAGTCAACGTGCAGCCCCTCAGCAGGGTAGGGTGGCACAGGAGGGGGGACGTCTGCAGAGGAAAGAACTGGGGCGGAGAGACATGAAAAGGTAGTCTGGATCCTAGCACTATAAATCCTTGCACGTGACTGACTGGCTGAGCTACAGAATGCGGTGTGGGAAGTCTAGAGGACTCCAGGGGAGCACACTCAGGATGAGGAGGTCGCAGGAATGCGTCGAAGAGTTGGCAGGGCTGGGGTCTTAGACTCTGACAACTATAGAGGAAGCAGAAAGGGTCACCTGAGGTATGCCATCGCTGGAAGTCAGGGAGCAGATGTCTGTGCAGCTCCTGCTCTCTTAGGTGCCTCAGAAACACGACCTTCAGTCAGGATTTATGGCTTCCAGGTCCGGCTCGAGTCAGTGCTGGTGACCGGATGAAATGCCCCAAGAATTGGGGGCGGGTCCCAGAACCTTGACACCACAGTGCCACCCCAGGCCAGCAGCCACTACAGTCAGCAACTGGGTCCAAGGCTTTCAGGGACAGTGTCCACGGACAGCTATTGGCCCTGGACACTCTGCATCAGAACCTACAGCCCAAGGCTCCCTAGCGCTCAAACACCTCTCAACGCTGGGAAGAAAACGGGAGGATCATCAGGGTTATCTCAGCCTTGACTTTCCCACACTGTGTGCCCAGCCAGCTGGCTCACAACACTGAGAGAGATGAGAGGGAGGAGGGAGAACAGTCGAGAAAACTCCTTCAGGAAGTTCACAGAGCTGATAAGCACTTTGAGGAAAGCAACAGGTTACAAAATTAACATACCAGATCGACAGCCTTCCTGTATACCAAGAGTGACTGAGAAAGAAATCAGGGAAACAAGCAGATTCCCAATTGCCTTCTTAAAAAATCGCTTGGAGCAAACTTAACCAAAGGAATGAAAGACGCAATAGTTTATTAAGTACCCCTTCAGCCTGTTCTTTTCTCCTTCTCCTCCCATTACTCAATGATATGAACATTGTCTTCTGTCATTTCCCCTAACTTCTGTGTTTCTGGGGTCTTATTCGCTTATTCCCACTGTTTTTGTGAATTCTTCTGCTCTTATTCTTTCTTCTGTCTACTCCAGACCACATGCTATAGGTTATAACAAGTCCAGCAAAATAACACAAAAATAATTATGACTGTAAAAAAAAACAAAAGTCCAGCTCCCAAATAGAACTATCCAGAAAAAGAAGAAGGAAAAGCCTGGTCTGGTGACACCCACCTGTAATACCTATTGGTGGCTACAGAGCCAGATTCTGGAGGGGAAAAGCACATAACCTGCAAAGCAAGAAATACAAAAATGCGTAACACACAGCCGGGAGAAAATGCCTTGGGGTGAGACACAGGTGAGCCATGCAATCTGGCTTCTCTTCTCCTTCCAGTTCCCAACATCTGTCACAAGGCCTTGCACATGCTCACAGTGGCAGAACTCTCTTGGATAGCTCACTGTCTTCATCCTCACATAGCCATGGTCCAAAGACCATGATACTCTAAACAGAAGTGACTGTGTTCTTGCATAGCCCATGCCTTGGGTATTTCTTTTTCACCACCTACTTGATGTTATATTGTTTCCTTGCCCACTTAATTCTTGGGAGTTTTTTTGGTTTGTCTCTTTGTTGTGCTTTGATCTATCTAAGGTTTAGATAGACAAGTTCTCATTACAGTAAAAAATTACTGAACTCAGGGTTTAACTCAATGGTAGAGCATATATTTGACATATATGAGACCCTGAGTTCAACTCTCAGCACTGAAAAGGTATAGAAATTCCTTTCTTAGACTCCACAATTTTTTTAATAATGCCATAGCCATTTCACAAAGTCAAAACAAGCAATCTATTGTTTTGCTGGGCGGTGGTGGCACATGCCTTTAATGCCAGCCCTAGGAAGGCAGATACAGGTGGATCTTTGTGAGTTTGAGACCAGCATGGTTCCAGGACAGCCTCCAAAGCCAAAGAGAAACCCTGTCTGGAAAACTAAAAAAAACAAACAAACAAAAAAACAACAAAAGAATCTATTGTTTTATGACTGTCAAGGGCATCAGTCATTTATAGAACAATAACAGCACAGACTATGGTTAGTGAGGCTGTGGATTCAGACACAGCTGATGGGCACAGTTAATTTCTGTGTAGTAAACACATTCATCACACCCTTTAAAAGCAAATATAGTGAAGAGAATATACTTTCTCACAACAATTACATAAAATTACATCTCAAGGTCAAGAATTTCAAGACTATCTTCCAGGAATGGGAGGTAACTTTGTTGTTCTCACTTGGCGAGCCTGCCCATGGTTCCAGGCTCAATACTAACCACTTCAGAAATAAAGATTAAAGGAAAAACTCTACTTTGGAGGAGAAAAATATCATTATTCCTTAAAATTGACAAAGTCTCGAAGAGGAGAGCTTGTTGTCTTCCTCAGCAAATACACCAAAGAAATTCATTTTAATGCAAGACACAGGGATTGTCCATTAATAAGTCCAGAAACATCACCCATGGGTGGTGATCTGCACAATTTGTGTCCTTTTGAGAACGGAATATTGCCAGCATTGTCTCCTTTATCTCCACAGTCAAGGGAAACATTAATCTAGAACTTTTCATTCTCAGTACATTTGGGTTGACCTTGATCAACTTTGAATTGTGAGGCTATGTCCATACCCTTACCCTGACTCCTGCAATCACTTTATAGTCGAGCTAAACTCCAAACACAATGCAAGCTGGATTTCAGTGCCATGTCTTGAGCGAAACTGAACCAAAGGATTGGGATTTTATAATATGCCATTCCTATAAACCTGCACTTTGGTGAGAGCAGAGACTATCAGTGTCTAATTCATTACTAGATCACAGCAGCTCAAGACTGCCTGGCAAACAGCATGCCCTCTACAAGTGTTGTTGGCTAGACAGATAATGTAGGCAGCTGCAGAAAAAGGACTGACTTCCACAGCGAGTGCCCCCTACATGTGAAATAGAGGGCTCAGAATGAGGACTCCAAGTATTAGGAAAGGAGTTTTAGCCACAAAAAATCCAAGCAAACAGAACTGGCCACTCCTGAGATAGCAAGAGCAGAGCCTGAGATCTTTGTGAAGTTACTTAACCTGTATATGGCCTCTGAGAATGAGATGGAGCATGTGTGATTCAGTAGAAATATTCTCAGTCTTTTTTTCTGAGACAGGGTTTTTCTGTATTGATTTGGAGGCTGTCCTGGAACCAGCTCTATAGACCAGACTGGCCTCACAGATATCCACTTGCCTCTGCCTCCCGAGTGCTGGGATTAAAGGAGTGTGGCACCAACGCCCGGCATATTCTCAGTCTTAAGAGAGAGAAAATTACAACAAAGCTAGCTTCACAGATCCTTTATGTGCTTGTGTGTGTGTGTGTGTGTGTGTGTGTGTGTGTGTGTGTGTGTGTGTGTGTTCATGCAGGTGGGAATGTCTGCACGAGTGGAGACTGAAGATCAGTCTCAGACTGATACTGTCCACCTTGATTTTTGAGGCAGGAACTCCTTAAAGAGGCTAAGCCGGCTGGCCTGGGAATTCCAGGGATGACCTGTCTCCACTTCAAACAGATTTTTCACACTGACTTAACTGAGAGAACTTCCCTACTTAATTTCATAGATCTTTAGTTGACTTTGTGCTTTCTTGTTTGAGCAACACTCTAGACCCAAAATGGATCATAGTACCTGGTCCCAGCACATGAGCACGTTCTGGCAGAGGCAGAGGGAAGAAGAGAACATGAAGGAAATTAGGTGGGATGCAGAGACATCTGATCAGTTATAGTTCCTGAGTACCATTTGGGACTTGATTTAAACAGTTGTCTCCTAGTGACTGATTGAGACTCAGACACTGGTAACAAGAGTAACCCTACTCTTATAAACAATTTCTGTATTTGTAAATTGTTGGGGGAAGTCCTGTGTATATGTCAATAAATTACTGCTGGCCAATAGGAATCTAGATAGGTGGGGCTAGGAGTCCAGGAGGACTCTGGGAAGGAGAAACACAAGAGAGTCGAGATGTAACGCCATTGGGGTAGGAAGCCCGGAAACCTCTCCGGTAAGAGACATACTTAGATTAACAATTATGGGGTAATTACTTAAGTCAGAGCTAGCCAGTAAGAAACAAGCAAAGGCCAACAGCTTCATAATTAATACAGCGTCTTGTGTGTTTATTTGGGGACTACAATGTGGCAGAGCCCAGGCGGCTGGCGGGGGATAAACCAAAGCGGCTAGCAAAAAAAAAGCTTCTCTTAACAGTAAATCAAGGTTGGATACATTTTATTGCACAAAGAAAAATATGTAGGCCATACTTAAAGTAAGTACAGACAGTATCCTAGGTAAAACTGAGATCAGAAAAGCTGAAATGATACCCTGCATCTACCTGACTACAGCGGAATAAGGCTAGATATCAGCATCAATAGAAAGTACAGAGAGCGCATGAACCAACAGAAACAGCACACTACTGAATGGTAGCTGGGTCAACAAAAAAATCAAGAAAGAAAATTAAAATTTCCTAGACTTGAATGAAAATAAAAACATAACATAACAAACCCTTTGGGACACAATGAAGGAAGCCCTAAGAGGAAGGTTTATAACACTAATTGTCTATATCAAAAAGATTTAGAGATATCAAGATAATAACTTAATGATACACCCTAAAGTCCTAGGAAAACAAGGCTAAATAACACCAAAAAGAAGCAGATGAGGAAAGAAACAAAGTTGGCGCTGAAATGGACATTTTTTTTAAAGTGCAAATAATCAATGAAATGAAGAGTTTGTTCTTCAAAAAGATTAATAGGGTTGGCAAACCTCTAGCCACATTCGCCAAAAGAAAGTGAGAGAAGATCCAAATCAATAAAATTAGAGATGAAAAGGGAGACTTTACAACAAGATAGGAAATTCAGAGAATAATAAGGACATCCTTTAAAAGTCTATATTCCACAAAACTGGAAAATTTAAAAGAGATGGGTGAATTTCTAGGCATAACTAAGTCAAGACTAAATAAACAATATGAAAACACCTATAACATTTGATGAGATAGAATAAAAAAATCTCCCAACCAGAGTCTGGAGAGATTGCTCAATGGTTAAAAAAGAAATGGTGGGTAATCTGAGGATTCATAGAGATGGATGCAGTCGAAGCAATCAGTCTGAAGATGCAGTCTGAGGCAGCAGTCATATGAAGAAGGCAGTCTGAAGCATTCAGTCTGAGGATTCCTGAAGACAGGATCACCCATTCGGGCTAAGGTAGAGTTCTCTACCAGTGGACAACTGAGTGCTGCCTTGGGCAGCAGATCAGTACCCATCCCAAGTATACACACGGACTTTGGACTTCCATAGAACAATGTGAGGTGCACTCTCACCCTGAACTCTTGGGGAAGGGTCTAGGCCCTGCCCTATATGAAATGACAGACTATGGACACCCCCATGGAGGGCCTCACCCTCCCTGGGGGAATGAGGGGATAACGGGGGGGGGGTTGGGGGGAGGGCACGGGAGGAGGGGAGGGAA